TAAAATCACAAGGGGGTGAGAGGGGGGGGTCTGGTAAGACATCACGTGTATTTATTTTATGCCAATCAAAAACAATCTGCAACCTTTCTGTCTAGACATTTTTATGATGGTACTTAATTTCAGAATAATATAAGATTATACTTTATACCTGTATTTGAAAATGATATTCTAAAAATTTTAAGATTCTTTGTAGCTACTAAAAATAAACGTGATGTTGAGTGGGGGGGAGGGGGGGGGGGAGTTTTGAACTTCACGTAGGGGGACTCCAAGGGGGAGGGGGGGTTAAAAAATGCTTAAAAAAGATCACGTGATTAATGGACGGCCCCTTACTTCCAATGGTTATGGGTTCGATTCCTCTCACGGTGCAGACACTTGTATCCATGAGTATGTATGTTTGTGTCAGGTTTTGAGTTTTCTATATACATTACGCATATATGTACAAAAAACGTATCTTTATTAGTTGTCCAGTATACATAACACAAGCACTGCTTAGCTCGGGACTAGATGGCGCTGTGTGCATTGTCCTGAAATATTATTATTATTATTTTCCAATGGTTTTTCCTAAATGTAACGGAATGTTATGTATGAGTTTACATAATGTTTTTGTTACATACTTTAGACGACCTCGGTGGTCTAGTGGTTTAGCACACCGCTTTACGTCCGATGGTCGCGGGTTCGATACCTCGCACGGCACAAACATTTGTATACATGAGTATGATCGTTTATATCGGTCCGGGTGTTTTCTATGTATAATATGTATGTATTTACGAAAAAATATCTATGTATTTGTATCAGTTATCTAGTACCGATAACACAAGCTTTAGCTAGCTTAACTTGGGTCTAGATGGCGCTGTGTGAATTGTCCTGAGATTATTATTATTATTATTATGTTACTGAAATCAGTTGAAACAAATTGAAATAAATTTTAGATTACGAGTAGTATTGCCAAGGCATCGATTCATATAAATTGATAAATAATTTGGCGCTCTTTTCAATTGAAATAGAAATATAATCTTTATTTATAAACTTAATGCAAGCACTTTTGAATGGTCACATTTTTTTTATTCTACCACTCATTCGGAACGCAGACTCATCACAAGAACGAGCAAGAAACTTGTGTGTTGCTATCTCAATTGATTGGAAGCATGGTTTGTAGGAATTCAGAACACCATCATTGTGGTTATTGTCGTAGTTCAGCCATGGAAGTGTGTCGCAATAATAATTTAAATTATGGCTCAACGAATTATAGGTACAGCATGTATTTAAGTACATGTGTTCATACACGGCAACTCGTGTTTGTTGTACATTAGTTTGGCAGGTCAGTACCTACATACATTATGTTGTTATGGACTTAATTTATAATTTAAGTGAAATTACTGCAGGCCCGCGGACGCGGATATCTGTGCTGTGGCTTAATGTGCTTTCGAGACCCCTCTTTCCCATTGGGCACACTGTGGGGGAAGTTACCTCTGTACTTGCCTCACATTAACAGAGTAACTATAGTGGTGTCCAAATAAAGAACATAGAAAATAGGGGGACGGGGATTGTTCGTATTGCTAGCAATGTACCGTGTCAGGTCGACCTCCACGTGGTTCCTCCTGGAAACCAACGTGATAAATACCTGGTGAATTTACCACGATGGGCTAACTGACCTGACCTCATGCTCATCTTATCATCCTCCACTGGTGCCAGCGTAAACCGTTAGCGTAGGCGGGTGCACAATTCCATTATCATACTTAAAAAAAAAAAGAAATTATTAATTAACAAAATATATTTAACACAATAATATAGATAAGTTACATCAACATCACGTCAGACAAGATGACATGATGACACACACTCTCTTTTCAAAATATACAAATATACTTGGTCTGCCATACCAACCAGTCTAGTCATCGAGTGCTAACCTCGTTCTAACACACACTGACTGGGCCCAGGGAACCGCGATGGATTGGGGCTCTCTAGTCTAGTCCAGTCTCTACTCCATCACCAAACGATAACCGATGGCTACTCTACTCTCGCCTGAAAATCAGTCTCAACAAATGCTTACCGACTATGGTCAATTTGTTCGTTTTTGTAAATTTTTTTATAAACGTCTAGCAAGAACTTGCACCCCTCACCACATAACGACTTTTTAAAATTATTTTTTTGCCTGGTTGAGGGTAGGGCATCTCCATATATTTAGTGTGAATTACATTATATCTAATACTGTATGATCTAATAATAATGTAACTATAAAGATATAAAAATATAGCTAAAACTTTGTATATCTACATTTTTTGTCTATTCTAATAAAATAGTGCTTTATTACTATGGTCATAGGGCCCTCTTATCTTACTGTGCCCAGGGCCTATAGGTGAAAGATACCCCTGCTTTCTAACATAGTCTCTGATACATCGAAAACTTTCACTTCGACTTTAATCTCCATAACTTCTATTATTTTTGTAATGAACGAACGAAATTTTAATATACTATGTTAAAAATAGAAATAAGTCTGAATTTATTAGGTGGCCCTTTGTTCCATATAATTACGGCGGCCGGCGTGGAGGCGGCAGCCGGAGGGATGTATGGATTCCAGATATCGATTGGATATCTATGTTAGCATCACCTATTTTTGGTAGTCACTGGAGCAAAGTTCAAATGAATAGCAACTATTACGGTTGCTCGCTACTTTATTGATTTTATAAAAATAGACAATTATTTTAACTGGGGCATATTTATTTTATACCACGATGGTGGCATACGGCCTATTTGGCGGTAAATGGTGAGCGCAGCCTATGGACTTCAGACAACATCAGGGGACAGCCTTGTTGCGGACGCTTGGCCGCCCTCAGTAGGTCTTAATTAGTATATATTCGGTCTACAACACCAATGCACCACAATTGGAAAATTCCACAAATTTATTTCTTACATTTTACACACAAGTTCCATTTTTCAATTAGTTATGTAATACAAAGGGAAACATGTAAAATATACACAACAGTAAGTCACTCCAGTTTCTACAATACAGGCCATAAATATTATTAAATATTATGTCATTGCTGCTTGTAGGGACTGGTCTGCTCTTATCACTACGACTGATTTAATCTTATTGTGTTTTTATATTTGAGCCTAAATGAATTAGTGCTGGTTGGTAGTTTGTATTCACACGTTTCGACTTGTAAAATGTGAACTTACAAGGATTGTTTAAAAGAGCAACACACAAGTTTCTTGCTTATTCTTCTTGTGATGAGACAGCTTTCCGAGTAAGGGATGGATTTAAAAAAAAATTGTTGACTATTCAAAAGTGCTTAAATTAAGTTTATTTGAATAAATAATTTTCTATTCTATTCTATTATTTGTATAAATCATAGTTGAAAATTTGTGGAGATAAATGAAACGCCATGATGGAATTTTCACATCTCTAACAATATTTTTTATTCTTAAAACAAATGAATGCGAAGCGCGTTCGAAGTTTAAAATAAATACAAAAGAGTTTTTATGTCTCGTACAATTATTAATACAAGAGTACAAATGAAATCGGACGAAACCTCGTAAGATATCATATACAGAACTTTATAGCTCGTGTGTGAAGTGGATAATAATAATAATAATAATAATAATCTCCAGACAATTCACACTGCGCCATCTAGTCCCAAGTTAAGCTATATACATAGATTTTTTTTCCGTAAATATATACATATTATACATAGAAAATACCAGATGAATTGTCAATGTGTATGAGTACAGTATAAGGGTAGAAGACTTGAGTGTCTCTGTCTACCTTTAAAATATTTAGCGTAACATTTGGTTCGTTTGACAGTGTGACTATAGAATTGTTTAGATAGATAGATATAAAGTTTATTTGTGTTGAAGATACAATACTATAAAGAAAAAGATGCAGTATGTAAATACATCTACATACATTGGTTAGTTAAGAATCTGCAATATATTAGGTATACAAAACGTGTGAGAAACGTCGCGTGTGTGCATCGCCCATACGCAAGAGGGTCGGCAACGTGCACGTGACACCCCTGGTGTTTCAGGCGTCCATAGGCTACGGTAGCCGTTTACCATCAGATGGGCCACATGCTTGTTTGCCACCATAGTAATATATTGCCCAGGGATATAGACACTCGTCTACCAGCTCTACTACTGATAACAATAAAAATAAAATCTCTAATTTGAATTTAAAAATGAATCTGTGTTTTTGTAAACAAGTACAAGCTCATTTGAAAGGAATAAGAGATGAGTTTCTTGTCACTTGTTGCCTCGAAAGCACTCCGAACTGACGGTGGATTTGACATATTATAAGAGTCTGTAATAGACCTAGCTGATGATCTTCGTGGCACATAAGCTACACAGGTATTTCATCACTGGTAGTGTTATATATGATGTGATGAGGTGACGCAATATAATATATTGTTTATTGTAGTATGTAGGTAGTGAGTATACAGGTGTAATAATTGTACTATTTATTGTACCTATGTACATAGTAAGTTTATTTGATAGTGTGCTACATGGCTTGTTAGTAACGCGTACATTCGACACTTTACTAATAATTCTACACTGAACTTAAATGTAAATATGTTATCTAGAGAGGTACGGAAGGGTCTCGACTGTCGACAGGAATATTACAAGTATAGGACACGTTTGATTTGAAACTAGTGTACCACACAGTCAGAGCAGGGTGGTTGGTTCATGTTGGTGATGTGGTGGTCAGAGCGGAGGGTTGGTTCATGTTGGTGATGTGGTGGTCAGAGCGGAAGGTCGGTTCAAGTTCAAAATTCAAAAATCATTTATTCATGTAGGACATTTTAGCCGCTTATGAACGTCAAATTTTTACATTATAATTTTATTTTTTTCCCTACCGTCCAGTTCGGTATATAGATCCAATTGAGAAGAACTGGCAAGAAACTCAATTGAATTACTTTTTTTTTTTAAAGCCAGTTTATTTACAATGTATATTTATATAGGTGTCTATGTCTAAGTTAGTGATGTGGTGTTGTGTTGTGTTACAGATGTACAGCGGCGCGCTGCTGGCGACTGCGGCGCGGCTGGCCTGGGACCCGAGCACCTACACGTGGTTCCGGTTCCTGTGCGCGGCGCAGTACCGCGCCTCCGCCGCCTACGTGCTGGCCGCCGGCCTGTGGCTGGCCGCCCTCGTGTACCTCGCAGCAGCCACCGCCAGCGCCGCCCACGCGCGACACCCGCCCGTCGCGCCCGCCCTACACCTGGTCGGTACTTCACATTAATCACTGACCCGCACAATATCATCTGCATTAAACTTAGTTGACATTTATCATTATATTTCAGCTTTTTACACATCTTTTTAAATTATTGCCTATGTGTTGTCAGATGTATAAGCATCATCAAAATCTGTGTTTGTATAAACCAAAGTCGCAGTCGCTGTTTGTCCGTCCCTATGTATGCTTAAATCTTTAAAACTATGCAACGGATTTTGAAGCGGTTTTTTGTAATAGATAGAGTGACTCAAGAGGAAGGTTTATATGTATAATACATGTACACGCGGGCGAAGCCGGGGCGAGTAGCTAGGAAGGCAGTGTCCGGTGCTCCGGACTGTTACTATCTCAGTGAGTCACGACCTTTATCTTCAAGATAATGTAATGAGGACGTATGATGCCAATGAATTCAAACAAGTATTATCTTAATGATGTTATAAACGAGAATGTTGGTGAATATGGATTATGGATGGTTTATTATATATAATAATCATATATTTTTTGACAGCCTCGGTGGTCTAGTGGTTTAGCATACCACTTTACTATCCGATGGTCGTGGGTTCGATTCCTCGCACGGTACAAACATTTATCTTCATGAGTATGATTGTTTGTATCGGTCTGGGTGTTTTCTATTTATAATATGTATTTATTTACAAAAAAAATATGTATCCATGTATTTATATCAGTCGTCTAGTACCCATAACACAAGCTCCGCTTAGCTTGGGACTAGATGGCGTTGTGTGAATTGTCCTGAGATATTATTATCTCAGGACAATTCATATTCACATCACATTAAAAAATTTTTACAGTAATATAGCTTATACATCAGAATAACATATAGGCTATAAATTTAACGCGAGTGAAATCATGCGCACAGCTAGTGATATATATAGTAAACATCCCGACCGATACAAACAATGATAGTTATGAATACGAATGTTTGTATCGAGCGAGCAATCGAACCCGCGACCATCGGAAGTAAAGCGGTGTGTTAAATCGTTAGACCAGAGAGTTGTACCGTTGTATATACGATAATATAGATGACCATACAGTGGTAATTTTTTTATGGATGATAATGGAATAGTGCACCCGCCTGCGCTATCGGATTACGCTGGCGGGGCACCAGTGGATGATAAGATGAGCATGAGGTCAGGTCAGTTAGCTCATCGTGACAAATTAATCAGGAATTAATCACGATGGTTTCCAGGGGGAACCGCGAGGAGGTCAACCTGACATGGTACATTGTGAGCAATGGGGTCAACAGTCTGTGCTGTAGGCAATGCTTGTAATATTTCTGTCGACACTTGAGACCCTTCCATTAGTTTACGTCTCCACTAACATAGATTTAAGTTAAGTGTAAAATTATCTATTTCATATCTCATCTACGTCCCGACTCCGCGTCGACTGTACGCGTTATTAATAAGCCATGTAGCATATGTACTACCAGGGATGTTAGGGAGCTTCGTAACCGTAACCGAAACCGAAATAAAAGTTTCGGATAATATCGGATAGTAGCGGAGCCTAATTGAGACACGTTATGTAACCATTTTATTAGCTATTTGTATTTTACTTTTGAAATTCCTTAAAAATAATATCCGTAACCGAAATTATCCGAAAGTAACGGATAATCCGAAATAATTTCATATCCGCATCCGTATCCGAAATTTCATATCCATAACATCCCTGCACACTACCAATAAACATAATAATGTCTAATAAACTAAACTGTGTGTAGTACATGTGTGAGTGTGTGTTTGTTTGTTCACAGTACGCGTGCGGCGTGGTGTGCCTGGCGCTGAGCGAGGTGGGGTACGGCGCATGGATGGCGGTGTCGTTGGCGGCCTGGTGGAGGTCGGCCCCGCAGGCCGAGCTCGCCCGCCGCGGGATGGACCTCGTGCACGACCTCAAGCCCGCGCTGCTCGCTGTCGAGCGGTACCGCGACGTCGCCCGACCAGTCTACGACATGATCGAGGTGAGACTCCACCACCGCCCACTGTTCACCAGCCACCGTCCGCCACCACGCCACACACGCAGTGGTGCGGCCACATCACACGTGGCCAGTGTCTCTTTGTCTTCCTGCTACCTTTCACCTTACCATATAGGTCATAAAAATAGAAATTTTGATTGGCACACACCACCGGCGCCGCCTGTGTGCCAAATCTTAGCAGCACCGTGTTTGTCGTCCTATTTAACCCATTCGGTCTTATTACAAAAATTCTATTAAAATTCGAACGAAACGTGGTCTAAATGGTCGAGGTTTAAACCATTCCTAAAGTTAATACTTGGAATAAACCTAACATTATTATAAATCCAGATCTAACAGAGGACTACTTAGTACTACAGTTAAATCGTTCATTTCATATTCCCCACAGATAATATATAGAAATCAGTCACTCATGTCTGTCAGCGTACAATTGCGTTCCATTTTACCAGAAAACTGAAATGATCAAAAATAAAATTATCTCAAAGATAAATGTATAAAGTAAAAACAAAAAATATTTGTATTTATCCACGTCTTCATTATAACTATTTCATTAATATGTAATATTTATTAACGTACTATTAGGCTAAAAATCAGTTTTAAATTACAAGTAAGGACGGAGTTACGGAGAAACGGAACGGCGAGATATTTTGGATCGATTCAAATGATGACTATTTCAGAGTCAAAAGAGTGAATAAAATAACAAATGACATCTTTTATATATCTTTTTAATTTAGTTAAGCCTTTTTTCAAAAAACAACAAATGTTTAAATGTTGACTGATATACATATGTTAAATTCAAATTGTTTTACAATTAAACAATGTTGTTTTGGTGTATCAACAATATTTTCAGTAATTTCATCCGGCGCCCCTTATGTTGGCGGTGCATATTGATATATATTACTTCAGTATTCACATTAGAAAAGGATTTTCCGTTATTCTGATAATACCAACACGAGCTAACAGTATCCACGTGTGCGCAGTCGCAGTAAATAGCTAGTTCTACACATGAAAATGAATACCGGCTCCTGAAATATTACGATATATATTTTTTTGCCATTTTGTCCAGCAGTGGGACAATATCAGTTAAAAATAAGTAAAACCATTATAACATATACTGTAACCATTAATTGTTTATTCAATGTATTACAATGTAAATTAGATAAATCTATCGTTAATTAATAATATTATAAATAAAATAAATAAATGACCCTGGACCATATTGATCCAGCGCCATCTAGTACCACGGTAAGCAGAGCTTGTGTTATGGGTACTATACAACTGATATAAATACTTAGTTTTTATTTTTGTAAGTACATACATAATATACATAGAAAACTCTCATCGGTGCAAACAATCATACTCATGAATACGTGTTTGTGCCGTGCGAGGAATCGAACCCACGACCATCGGACGTAAAGCGGTATGTTAAACCACTGGACCACCGAGGCCGTCAAAATCAATATATTTTCTTCTTAGATATTAGGTGGGTACTTATCTACTTGAGGAACTAGAACTTGGTGATCAAACTGACGTGATCATCACGTGTTGTGTTACAGGAGGTGGAGCGGGAGGCGCCCAATAATGTGTTCGTGATCATCATATTCGGTGTCTTTGGAATGATACTCCAGGTGAGTTGGCCGGAGACAGCTCACTCTGTTAAAGATATGTGTATCTTTAACAGAGTGATGTAATAATATTCAATTTTTATATGTATATATTTTTTATGGATGATAATGGAATGGTGCACCCGCTTGCTCTAACGGTTTATCCTGGGCACAGGTGGAGGATGATAAGATGAGCATGAGGTCAGATCAGTCAGCACATCGTGACAAATTCACCGAGAATTTATCACGATGGTTTCCAGGGAGAATCTCTTGAAGGTCAACCTGACATGGTACATTGCTAGCGATAAGATCATCAGTCCACATTACTAACAATTACCTTTCTTCCTATATGTATATTACATCATGCCATTCAGTTACGGCAATGTATTAAATCACTGGCAAGAAATGCCAGGATTGACACATTCAAAAGCCCTAATATCAGGCTACTCGAACAAATACTCTGATAGACTACTGCTATTGAGTAAAAACAACATATGCATGATGACTAGGGCCCTCACAGGACACTGCAAGTTGAACAAGCATATGGCTTACCTTGGCCTATGCACGACAAAAATCTGCAGATTCTGCCAAACTGAAGAGGAAACACCACTACACATTCTACGTGGTTGTAGCCCACTCATACATAAATGAAATATCTCCTTTGGAAAGTTTACACTCTTTCCCGAGGTGATAAAAACCATCGCTCCTAAGAATATCCTTCAATTCTTGTCCCTGAAGGGTCTAGACAGCGAACTTTGAAAAAGGGCGAGCACAATAGATCTATGTTGGTCGTAGTGCTACAGGTTCAGGTACCTGACAATAGCCCAAACAACCCAATAAAAAAAAAATACGATAATGTTAATATTTCTTCCAATGAAATGGCACGGCAGCAGTACGTATTTTCTTTTATATACCAGTTTAATGCTTACTGTTTAACAATAATAATAATGTAATAAACTAGGACAATTCACCTGTCTAGCGCCATCTAGTCCCACGTTAAGCAGAGCTTGTGTTATGGGTACTAGACAACTGATATAAATACATAGTTTTTTTTAAATACATACATAATGTACATAGAAATCAACTAAACCGATACAAACAATTGAATATACATATAAATTCATGAGTACAAATGTTCGTACTGTGCGAGGAATCGAATCCGCGACCATTTGAGGTAAGACGTTAATCTTCCTGAAAGGACAGCAGACAGTTAACATGTTATTTTGTGGGGTACAGGTGGCCGCGGTGGTGATGGCGTGCCGGCTGGCGCGGCGGTCGCAGCGAGCGTCACGGGCGTCGCCGGGCAGCGAGCACAAGCTGGCGGGCGAGCTGAAGCTGGGCGAGCGCGGGCTGGGAGCGGGCGCGGCCGGCGCGGCCGACGACGACAGCGACGCCGCCGACGCGGACGCCGACCCGCCGCCGCCCGGCTGGCGCAAGAAGGCCAACCTGCGCATGTACACCATACTCGACAAAATTTTCTAGCAGGTCAGCCCCAAACGATCACTCTAACATGAGCTATATTACTGTAAAGTTTCGTCAAAATCCGCTCAGTAGTTTTTACGTGAAAGAGTAACAAATATCCGTTGTTGGTTGTGTTAAGGCTGTATTTAGTTTGCCTTGGGAGAAGTGGAATTTTGTTTTGAAATTTAAAAAATACGACGTTGTGCCTTCGACGTTGTATTTTGGCGGCTGATTGAAATATACACAAACGGTGGCCGGCCGGCAGATACGTGCACATCTGTAGCTACATTCCTAATAGATCAACCATGCTTACTAACTTTCGCTTTACAAGTTTTTTTCCTTTTCATGATAATGGAATGATGCACCCGCCTGCGCTAACGGATTACGCTGGCGGGGCACCAGTGGAGGATGATAAGATAAACATGAGGTCAGGTCAGCTAGCACTTCGTGATCAATTTACCGAGAATTTATCAAATTCAAATTCAAACTCATTTATTCATGGAGGACATTTTAGCCGCTTATGGACATCAAGTTTTTTACATTATAATTTTATTTTTTTCCCTACCGTCCAGTTCGGCATATAGATTCAATTGAGAAGAACTGGTATCACGATGGTTTCCAGAGGGGCCTGCGTGGAGGTCAACCTGACATGGTACATTGCTAGCAATAACATCATCAATCCACATTGCTAACAATAACTCTCGATCTTCAGCGGTATCCTGTCTTCTTGAACGTATGCCACCATCACTCCTCTCTGTCTCAGTCGCGGTGGAGACAGTGTGTGATGATGAAATTCCAGTGGGTACATCGAGTGACATTGTGCTGGTGTTTTTGACAGGACGAGCAGTCTGTGGCGGAGCCCCGGTCGCCGCGCAGTCGGGCCGGCGGCGCTCGCTCGCGGCGCCGGGGACGGCCCGGACGGGGCGGGGTGCCGCGCCGCCGGACGGCCCGCGCGGGACGGGACGGGCGGGACGGGCGGGACGGCCGGGACGTGCGGGACATGCGGGACGTGAGGGACGCGCACTGGGACGCGGTGCAGGCGCAGTTCCGCGCACTCCGCGCCGCGCCCCCCTCCGCGCCCGCCGCCGCGCTCCTCATCCTGCACTCCGACCTGTAGCCACCAGCTCCGGCTCCACCATACTGAATATTGCCTCCAACACGTGCCGTCTAGACTAAAGAATTACTAACAACCGAGTGCGTCCCGTATCGTCGCTCATTCATGTTAGTGAAACTAATAATTTTGTTTTAAAAGCGGGCCGTGACTCGGCCGGACTATTTCGATGCAACGAGTCAACCAAGTCGCTGCAACTTGGTAGGACGGGGCGCACTCTGTCGTGCAGTGGGTACCACTTTTGTTACGTAGCGTTGTTTGTTGTTTGTTGCCTAATCCGACAGACTGTCCGCCACTGCCAGCTGAACAAAACTAATAAAATTTACCTAATAATCTATATTTACTAGTTATTACGTTTAGGGTAATATTGTAAAAGATATCTCTATAAATTGTTAGGTTGCGTACATGCGTATAACGATACAGAAATATTGAGTTGTTACTTTGTTAGACTGAGACACCATACACTGGAGTAGTGATCCCTAAACATATGAGGCTGCGATAAAGTCGCAATCCTTACAGTTTTAGGTCGAAATGTGAGTCGCAATCTTCCGACTGACCAGCTGTATATTACCATCCTTATAAATCTAATACAGGCTGTAGACAGCCAGTAGCGAGATTGGAGCATGTTGGCTGGCTTTATTTGACTTAATATATTTGACGAATTCAGTAAAGTTCACGGACTTATTGCATTGTGTGGTATCTAAGTTTAGGAATCACCGCACTAGAGGACTCTTCTTGGTGCACGTTAGTTATAGAATAACGTAATGAAAGCAGACTGCCATATATTGTTTATTAGTTAGTGTAAGGCCCTTCATACACGAGGCTACTCAAGTTTTAGATACTCTACGATTTTAGTCTCCGAGCGACTGCCGGCATATATAGTAAATCCACTGAGTCGCCGTCATACGTGACTCGCACCGCGCCAGGCCGACGTATAAGTTGCGGCGTATTCCAGATGGCGGAGCAGAAACGTGTGATCCAAAAATAAATGGAATCTTAGTTTTTTACGGACCGAGTTACTCGATACTAATGTATTATACAACTATAGATCAATAAGATTTGCCAGACAAAAAAACAGAGTCAACTAAGTCTAGCTAAAAATAATAAAAAACGGAGACGTTCGAATACGGGACAGATATATATAAAATCGACGTCTATATAACATCAATATCGAAGATTTTGTAGCCATGTGTACAAAGGGGCTAACAGGAGAGAGGCGACATGCCGTCTTCATATCACCAGTGTTAAACAATTATTTCTATTACTGCTCTATAGTAATTGTTATATTTGCGTAGTGTTCATAATCTATATAAATATATTGATTGTTTGTAACAATTTATTGTAAAGTAAAAGTTCAAGATGAACGATACAGAGTTCTTATGATGTTAACGAATACAATGGCGTTATTACAATTGAGAAATATATATCTTCTTGATAGAGTATCGTTTTGATGTTACGAGCGACGGGTGCTGGCAGGCTCGAGGTCAGGGGTGGGAGGACGCCGTGACCTCGCGGTGCTGGTCTCCGGCCACTGTTCGCTCGTTCTATTCCATGTTGCTGTGATTTGTTTTTAAATGACGCGTATGTAATGTAGGTAAAAGTTATAACGTACGAGCGTGCGAGGCGGACTGCAGTGGGCGGCGTCCCCGAGTCGCGCCGTACGTTCACCTGCCATATATTTAGATAAGGTCAACTTTAACTTCCAGTACGGTTGTTTTGTATTTGGTGCCAAATAGTTAAGTTAAGGGTAGGCCCGACCTCGGTTGTAGCTCGGTGCGCACCGCCGCCGCGTCGCCGCGCCGCTCTGGACATGGAAGGTTAATTAAAAATATTGTAATCCGGAGGCGTTCAAGTATTACGTAAGTACTGTAAGGGGGCGGGGGGGTCTTTGCTTATGATACGGGAGGTATGGAAGTCTAGATAATGATTACGTCATCGGTAGTCATTTACTTTTTTACACGAATGGCAACCCTCACATTGTCTGCGCTAAAAAAACGATACATTAATTGAAAAATGTTTACGTAGGCAAGGGGGGAAGGGGGAAGAGTATTGCTTACTTTTGCTGACAACAGGGTTGTGGGGGGGGGGGGGTAAGTAATTGTAATAAATCTGCTTACTTAATACTATAGGCCCCTTTCCTGAGCATAAGTGTTTTATACATTGACAAGAAAACTTGAATCGTTTGTGTAATATGAAATTATATAACTTCCGTCTCTAGTTGGTGGTCGGTGTAGTTACGAAGACATAAAGAATATTGACAATATACGTATGAAGGCACTGGCGCTCACCTGGTCAGGGTTGTGACTCGTGATTAGGGTTGCCAACTTTTTCTGACAAAAAAGACGTTTAAACTAGTTTGGATGGGAGAAAAATAAAGTATTAAGAATAATATTTGTATTTGTCAAATTTTATGTTTTCATTGCTATAAAAACGTATTTCTGTCACAACTCACAATTGACATCTAACATTTCGTTCAGTAATTATAAATCGTTAAGTACCCATAATGAGTATTTTGTTTTACGCATCACAGTGAAGGTTGAAAATAAAGTATTTTTGCATACTTTATTTGTATGTAAAAGTATAATTACCAAGAATAAAGTAGGATACGTTATTATAAATTATGGTTGGCGACCCTACTCATGACCAACTCTGATCAATTAGACAATAAGAGAGAGCCCCGCGCCCCGCGCCCCGCGCCCCGCGCCCCGCGCCCCGCGCCCCGCGCCCCGGCCCTCCGCTCCCGGCGACCACGTGACGCGCGCGCGGCACTCATTCCATATAAGTATCAGGATAAATTGATATTTGTAGTTTGTAAGAGTAATAAAGCAATAAAGTGATATTTTTGTATGAACTCCTGTTGTTTTACTCATACCATAACAATCGACAACTGCATACGCATTATACGAGTTGAGAACAGTGGCGTAGTTAGGTAACCAAAAAATGGGGGCCTACTGGGTCATGGTTTTATTAAAACGTTATAGTTCGTCAAATTGACGACACTTTTTAAAGGGAATTTTATAGGTACAACTTTCGAATTTCTCTCAACTGAGTTGCCATGTTAAAGTCGGGTAGCAACCTGACATATTTATTTTGAAAATTGGAGAAATTTTGAAAAGGTAAGTTCGATCGACATTTTCTGGTAAGGGTACGAGGGCCCATTGAGCTTGAGGGCTCCGGGGCACTGCCCCGCCTAGCCTCTAGGTAGCTACGCCACTGGTTGAGAACCCTATTTTTTCGTGTGGAGATAAATCTTCACATGATTGTCCTCTCGCCAGGGTGACGATCTGTGATTTTTATCCACGATAAAAATACGAGCGCCATTGTCGGTGTGGCGAGGTCGCTTCAGCATTCTACCACGACTCCGGCCACGTTGGACGCCCCATAGATGTTATGGGGCATCCCCATCTCATTGAGACGTCCTATCTCGCCCTATTCAATTATGGAAGCGTGTGGATTCTCACGCACACCTCTGGGCCCTTGTAGTCGGGGCGCTGCCTATACGAGTAGACGCTGAGATCAAGAGGATAAATTTATAGTGAGCTAGTCAGAGAAGCAGCGATTTCTTATTCTATGGAAAGTGGAATAAAACTGCCAGCGATATGTTTATTTAATTTTATTGAGTAACTGGCTGAGGAATTTAACTTTATTTTTCTAAAATAAAAGCAGCCTAAGTTAATCCTTATTACATCAGCTACCGGTCAAAAAAGTCCCGTCAAAATAGGTCCAGCCATTTCAGAGATAAGCCGGAACAAACAGACAGAGAGACAAAAATTGTAAGAAATGTTATTTTGGTGTATGTACTGTATTTATATTCATATGCATGTAGTAAAAAATGATTATTTCAATATTACAAACAGACACTTCAATTTCATTTATATGTATAGATTTGAAGAAATCTAACAAAGTTACCACGTGGCACCTATACCTATAATAATAATAATGTCCCCAAAACAATTCACACGCGCTATCTAGTCGCAAGGAAGGCAAAGCTTGTGTTATGAGTAATCAACAACTGATATCAATATCTTTAAATACATATATAACACACATAGAAAGCGATCTACATCGGAAGTAAAGCGGCGTGCTAAAACGTTAAATTCAAGTTAAAAAATCATTTATTCATTTTAGCCGTTTATGAACGGTAATTTTTTTACATTATACATAATTTGAATTATTTCTCTACCATCCAGTTCAGTATGTTCCTACACTTGTAATATTTCTGTCGACACTTGAGACCCTTCCATTAGTTTACGTCTCCATTAACATAGATTTAAGTTAAGGGTAAAACCAGTCTACGTCCCGACTCCGCGTCGACTGGACGCGTTATTAATAAAACATGTAGCACACTGCCAATAAACTTAATAATGTACAATAAATGATACAATTATTTCACCAGTATACTCAGTATCTACACACTACAATAAATAATATATTATGTACCGCCACTTCATCACAACATACATATATAATGCTACAGTGATGAGGATAACCACCGCGCTACAAGTATATAGATCCAATTGAGAAGAACTGGCAAGAAACTCAATTGAATTACTTTTTTTTAAAAGCCAGTTTATTTACAATGTATATATGTAGGTGTCTATGTCTAACATTAAATGAAAATCCCGTGCATGAACAACTATTGCCATGCACGCTCGTCATTCAATAGGCTTTACTCAGTACCTATGGTTCAACAGATGTTTTGAATTCATTACAGTATATATCGTAGACCAGCAAGGCCGTTAATAACACAATAAGTTGAAATTAAATTTCATTCAAAGTTTGATACATGAGGGGAAAAACTAACACTTGTATGTAGTTGTATTTTACCATACTTCTTTTACCTAATCATCTTCCTGTTCAATAAAAATGACAATAAAGTGACAGGTAAACACTCAGACAGACTACTGAAAGCTATAAAGGTTTTATATTATACTAGCTGTTCCCGCGACTTCGTCCGCGTGGAATATAACTTTATTTTTCTAAAATAAAGTTTCTAAAAGTTACTACTCATTACATCAGCTATTTGTCAAAAAAAGTCAAAACCGTCAAAATCGGTCCAGCCATTTCAGAGATTAGCCGGAACAAACAGACAGACAGAAAATTAAAAAAAAAATGTTATTTTGTATGTTGAATGTTGTTTTTAAGTGGTAGAGTAAGATGTACGACCACACGTGGTTGTTCAGCTCGATTGGGCCGCTCGAACCGGGAAATACCACACCTCGGCAGAAAACCGGCGTTAAGCGATATCGCGTTTGGCATGGTGAGCTGTAGGTTCCGGACGCCCCTCCCCCTCCCCCTATCGCTTTCCTATTTCCTTCCCCTAATCCGCCACCATGGTATGTAAGAAAGGTGTGGGCCCTTTCTTACATACCATGGCAGCGGATTACAAGAGATTTTTACCCCAGGGTGGTACCAGTAACCATGTTACTGGAGATTCCACCCCTGAGATATCACACTCAGGCTGCCCTGCGTATTCTGGCGTGGGCAATACTCCGCTCATATTGGCCAAAAGGAAACCGAGCAAATCTCCATCGGCGTTTCCCTTACTCATAGTCAGTTGTCTGCAACATCAGGGGAATTCATTCCAATCTCAACGCCGTCCACCACCACCTAGAGACGGCGAGGCCGGCTTTGCTCTTCCTTACGGAGACGCAAATATCCTGTCCCGACGAAATTTCGTACCTGACCTACCCTGGATATAAATTGGAACACCATTTTATTCCACGGGCCGGTGTGTGCGCTTATGTCAGAGAGTGTTTGTTGTCGCCGTCTTGGTACACTTAAAGGTTGCGATGACCACCCCCGCATCTATGCATGCTTATACAGGTCCCATAGCGGTAACATCGAAACTGACCGACTCATTGCACACGTCAAAATGGCTACAGATTTTTTGCTCCAACAAATTCCCTCCGCTGAGGTCGTGATTCTAGGTGACTTCAACGCCCATCACGCTGAATGGCTCGGTTCACGTACCACCGACTATGCGGGGAGATCTGTTTATGGCTTTGCTTTGGCGTATGGTTTAACGCAACTGGTATCCTCGCCTACGCGAATTCCTGATGTTGTTGACCATATACCTTCACTGTTGGACCTTCTGCTGACTTCTCATCCGGACGGATATCAGATCTCTGTAGAAGCGCGACTGGGATCCTCTGATCATTGTCTGATACGGAGCGAAGTGCCTCGCACGCGTCCTTCTTTGCCGCTATCTACTGGTCGACGTCGTGTTTGGCATTTTAAGTCGGCAGATTGGGATGAAATGGGAAGTTTTTTTGCATCTTACCCAGTTTGCTTCGCACTGGACGATCCTGATGCAATAGCTGAATCTGTCACCGATGTAGTACTTCACTGAATGGAGATGTTTATTCCAAATTCGCTGGTACCTGTCGATGGGAGATCTCAGTCCTGGTATGGCGGATCCTGTAGATTGGCGTCTCGCCATAAGCAGGAATGCTTCCGTGCCTGGATTGCAGCTGTGAAGTCGAGTGATCCAGATACCAGTGCCCATAAAAGGAAGTATAACTCCGATTCCAGGTCCTTCAAAAGAGTTATAGCCACAGCAAAGTCGGAGCACATCAGCAGAATTGGTAAGAGACTAAACAGTCTTCCATCTGGATACCGGGCTTTTTGGTCTCTTGCCAAAGCTGCTCAGGGAAATTTCTGTCAGCCATCTTTTCCACCACTGCGCAGAGAGGATAACTCGTTGACCCAATATGCTAAAGATAAGGCCGATCTCCTTGGGTCTCTTTTTGCATCCAACTCGACACTGGACGATAGGGAGCAATCACCGCCGGTCATCTCGCGGTGTGAGACTTTTATGCCAGAGGTAAAATTTACCCAAAAGCTAGTACGTAAGTCTCTTTTCTGCCTAAATATCCAGAAGTCGAGTGGGCCTCACGGTATTCCTGCTATTGTGCTCAGGACGTGTGCACCTGAGTTAGCTCCGGTACTAACGCGTCTTTTCCGGTACTGCTACTCTACAGGTGTAGTCTCTTTGGAAGACGGCTTTGGTTCATCCGGTCCCTAAGAAGGGAGATCGCTCAGATCCAGCTAACTATAGGTCCATAGCCATCACCTCCTTATTCTCAAAGATCATGGCGTCGATTGTCAACCGTCAACTCCTACGATACCTAGAAGTGAACCAGTTGATTTCTGATCGTCAGTATGGCTTTCGCCAGGGTCGGTCGGCTGGTGATCTTCTAGCGTATTTGACACATCGATGGGCTATTGAGAGGGGGGAGGCCCTATCTGTTAGTCTGGATATTGCGAAGGCCTTTGATCGGGTTTGGCACAAGGCTCTTCTTTCAAGGCTACCTTAGCTACCTTTCTTAGCTATCCTTTGGGTTGCCTGCGAAGTTATGCAAATGGGTCGCTCTCGCTGATCGGGGCATCAAGATCGTTGTCGATAGTGCTTGTTCCGACCCACACTCTGTGAATGCTGGTGTTCCACAAGGCTGTGTGCTATCTCCGACTCTGTTCCTTCTGCATATCAATGACATGTTACAAGTCAACAACATTCATTGCTATGCGGATGACAGTACCGGAGATGCCTTGTACAGCGGCCATGCTAATATGTCGCAGGCAAAAGTTATAGAGTACCGGAACAAACTTGTGTCTGAAAACGAAACTTCACTCCATCAAGTTTCGGTTTGGTGTCTGGAAAATTGTGCTCAATTCAACCCCAAGAAGACACAAGTTTGCGCGTTTACCGCTAAAAAGATTCCATTTATCGTATCTCCTCAGTTTCAAGACACTCTCCTTGATGTGAAGCCAAATCTCGAGGTCCCTGGCGTTGATATATCCAGTGACGTTCAGTTTTGCGGTCATTTGGAGGACAAGGCTAAAATAGCCTCAAAAAGGCTTGGTGTGCTCAGTAGAATGAGACGGTATTTCACGGCGGCCCATCGCTTGCAATTATACAAGGTGCAGACCCGGCCGCATATGGAATACTGTTCTCATCTCTGGGCGGGAGCACCACAATACCAGCTACTTCCATTTGACCGCATTCAGAACCGAGCAGCCAGAATCATTGGTAATCAACGTCTATGTGACAGACTCGACCCATTGGCTTTGCGGCGAGATATTGCATCTCTGTGCATTTTCTACCTCATATATCACGGGGAGTGTTCTGAGGAATAGTTCGGAATAATACCAGCTGCTGAGTTTCACCATCGTACCATCCTGATCATCTGGATGAATGGCGGTCTTCCACAGTACGGTTTTCTAGAAACTTTTTGCCTCGCACAACCACATTGTGGAATCACCTTCCAGCAATGGTATTTCCGAACCGATACGATATTGAAACCTTCAAGAAAAGAGCTTATTCCTTTTTAAAAGGCCGACAACGTACTTGCAATTCCCCTGGTGTTGCGGGTGCTCATGGGCGGCGGTAATCACTTACCATCAGGTGAGCCGCACGCTCGTTTGTCCCCTGTGTTATAAAAAAAAAATGGTCCGTATTTATATTCATATGCATGTAGTAAAAACTGTTATTTCAATATTACAAACATACACTCCAATTTTGTTTATATGTGATTAATTTTAGTAAGAAATACCTATAATAAAATTTAGATTGGTATTATCTCTGATAATGTTATCTACTATAAAAAGTGTTTGCTTATGAGCATACGAGGTATATCAGTGTAACTGGAGCAGTGCGACGTATATTATCTTATACAGTAAATATAAATAATTTCAAGAAATTGCTAAATATTGAGTCGGTTGAAACACTGACATGATTTCGGGACAACTTACAAGATTTCGCGTGTGTGCTGAGAGGTAGCTGTGTGTTCCGAGCGTTGTGGACAGGTGATAGTTTCAAGTGCGCCGGGGCCCGGGTGCTGCAGGCCTCCGCCATGTGGAGCCCCGCGCGACTGGCGGGCGCGCTCCTGCTGCACGTCAATCTCTTACTCATGGTATTCCTTTGTCTACAAATGAAATAATCACAACGCCATCTAGTCTCGCTTAAGTAACAACTTACATAAATACCTTTTTATTAATATACCCTTGTTTGTGTGTCGGTGTGTCATCAATACAGTTATCTATCAATTAATACGAATCATGTAAAACTTACGTGACTCTCTACATGTATATATATTGTGTTGTATATTGTTAACTGACCTTTGTACTTGTGGTTTCACGTTGCATCTTTTTTTACAATTTTGTACCTTGTACATACGTAACGTACCCTTTAACGCATGTAACAGTTTCATCTATCTATCTATACATATAAATAAAATTGGAGTGTCTGTTTGTAATATTGAAATAACCGTTTTTTACTTCATGCATATCAATATAAATACGGTACATACACCAAAATAACATTTTTTTACAATTTTTGTCTGTCTGTCTGTCTGTCTGTTTGTTCCGGCTAATCGCTGAAATGGCTGGACCGATTATGACGGGATATTTTTGGCAGGTAGCTGATGTAATAAGGAGTAACTTAGGCTACTTTTATTTTAGGAAACTTAAGTTAATTCCATTCGGACGAAGTCGCGGGAACAGCTAGTCTAAATATAAAGTTTCTAAGGAAGGGCTAGATGCAATGTGAATGTGGCATACATAAAGAATACTGTCAAAAAAATCTGTGGCGACATCACCCAGAACTTCATTACACGCAAATAATGTTGTAAAACATCAAGAAGAGTATTGAAACAGACATTAAATATTGTCTTATCACTGCTTGTGACTAATATTGTTATGAATTTTACAAATCAAAAGCTGTACTATTATAGCTGTATATTTGGTGCTATTATTCAAACCATAAAGATATCCAGTGACAAATTTAATTTCAAAGATACTTACATTCAAACACTTTTGGAGTCACAAGTGTATGACTAATATTTTTAATTTTCGTAACATTCGTAAAGCGGTGCCATCACATCTATCACGTTTACATTTAAACTAGCTGTCCCGGCAAACGTTGTTTTGCCATATAAATTAATAACGCTACAAAAAAATAGGGGTTGATGATAGAAGGGTCAAAATTTACGGTTGTATGTATTTTTTAATGACACAATAAAAAAATATAAATATAAAATTTGCCCAAAAAAAAATATTAGGGGTAATATTACCCTTATCCGTTAAGGGTATGAAAAATAGATAGTAGCCGATTCTCGGACCTACTGAATATGCATATAAAATTTCATAAAAATCGGTCAAGCCGTTTGGGAGGAGTATGGTAACTAACATTGTGACACGAGAATTTTATATATAAGATATGTACTCTCATTTGTATACACATTGTATGAAATATTCATATTATTTTATTCACAAATGTAACACAGCTCGTTACACAGTATCACGTCAATTGTAATTACAGTTATTTATGATAATTATGTCACAATTACAATTTTAATTATTCAAAATAATAAATTATATTAAATTTGGACAAGTCCAAACGCCCGGCTGTGTGTAGGTACTACCACAGATAATATAATATTACATAGTACTACTGAAGTAGATTATGTTGTGTGGATTATTGTTTCTAAAAAAAATTTCATGTTACATTTTCCATACCAAATATGTTTGACTACGCTCGCTACCTAGACCCGTCAGGGACAAGAATTGGTTTTTATCAGGGATGTTATGCTATGAAATTTCGGATACGGATTTTACGGAGGTTTCGGATATAGGAATTATTATTATACCGAATACGGATACGGATGCGGATATAAAATTATTGCGGGATTATCCGTTAGTTTCGGATAATTTCACAAGTAAAATACTAATAAAATTGTTACATAACGTGTCACAATAGGCTAAGGCAATAGTCTGACGCTCCGCCCCTATCCGATATTATCCGAAACTTTTATTTCGGATTCAGTTACGGTTACGAATATTTTTTTATATCGGATATCCGATAGTTTCGTATCCGGTTACGGAGCTCCCTAACATCCCTGGTTTTTATCTCCTCTGAAAAGAGTGTAAACTTGCCAAAGCAGATATTTCGTTTATGCATGAGTGGGCTTTTTTTTTTTTTGGATGATAATGGAATGGTGGACCCGCCTGCGCTAACGGTTTACGCTGACGGGGCACCAGTGGAAGATGATAAGATGAGCATGAGGTCAGGTTAGTTAGCCCATCGTGACAAGCTCACCAGGAATTTGTTGCAATGGTTTCCAAGGGCAACCGTGTGGAGGTCGACCTGACATTGTACATTGCTAGTAATGGGGTTATCAATCCACATTACTAACAATCCCCTTTCCCCCCGCATGAGGGGGCTACAACCACATAGGATGTGTTGTTGTGTGTGGCGTTTCCTCTTCAGTTTGGCAAAATCTGCAGATCTTTGTTGTGCACAGGCTTAGCTTAGCCAAACGTTTGTTCAATTTGCCGTGTCCTGTGAGGGCCCTCATTCATATGTTGTTTTTACTCAATAGCAGTAGTTTATTGGAGTATTTGTCCGAGTAGCCCGATATTAGGCCGTTGAATGTACCAAACCTGGAATTTCCTGCAAGTTATTCAGTGCTTCTCGTTTGGTTATTAATTTGAGATATCCCAGTTTTAGGCTACGAGGAACGCCACAGAAGAGCTCGGGGCCCAGTTGGACGGTTTTTGCACGTAACTTTGCCAGATGGTCGGCATTTTCATTGCCTAAATGTTTGTATGCCTTACTTCATTTAATAGCAAGAATATAAAAAATAAGCGAAGAAATAAATTAGATAAAATAGTCAGTGTCACTCCTTGTATAATATGTATTAATAACTAATTTGTACAATAAGTACACAATCATGTACCACGGCCCCGGCCACGCCATGCGCCATCTGGCAATACTACTACTTTATGAATTAATTCACTAATAAAACAATAAAGGGCATTATATATACATATACAAGTTATATTCAGTGTTGGAGCTTGATTATTAAACAATCAATATATAACGTTTGCAAGGATTCTGCTTCTTAGCCCACCTTCGGAACCGCAACTGATTTCACTAGCCTTCTTCATTCATTTTATAAGTTTCGGGCCGAGAGGAAATGATTGACTAATTTATGATTTGTAGGCGTGTAAAACACCAGGGGTGTCACGTGCGTGTGCGTTGTCGTCCTTAAATATACCCTTGTTGACGTAGGTGTGGTGCGGGGCGGGGCTGGCGACCGCGGCGCGGCTCAAGTGGGACCCCTCCACGTACGTGGTGATCCGCGAGCTGGCGCCGCTCGAGTACCGCGTGTCGACGTCGGCGCTGTGCGCAGCCTCCGTCGCCCTGCTGCTCCTCACGCACCTCGGCACCGCCGGCGTCTACGTGCGCAACACCCGCGCCGGCCCCCACATACTGTACGCGGTGAGTGGACAATGACACACCACTCAATGTAAAAGTAATATGTTACATACATTACATGTTCACGAGTGTCACTACAGAAAACTTAAGTCTTTAAACTATAATTTTATTTTAATATACCTCACCGAATTCCTAAATAAGGTGTCAGCCTGGCGTACCGTCAAAATATATGTATGAAAAAAGCACGAAACTTATATAAGTTTTATTTATTGCTTCACAAACAGGAATGTATACAATTAAGCCAAGCTGTTTTACGTGATTTTCACTATCATATTTTTTTAGTAATAATTAAAGTAGAGGGGAAAGAAGAGAAGAAGGGTAGAAGGGGAATCGGCGATTGACTCCAAGTGGAGAAAGAAAATGCTATTGGTGACAGCCCACCGGATGGAACGCGGCAACCGTTGTATACTCATGTAAGCAGCACCGCAGACATCATCGTGGTCAGTGCTGTAGCTGTACCACCATTCATGCACTGTCATTACTGAAGAATACCGTGTAGTTTCACCGGCATATTTCAGCATTGGTGGGCCGGGTCATTGGGCTCCCTAAAATATGGTCGAGCGCAGTGATGGCTAGTTCATCAGTCATACTCGTGAACGAGTGCTGCTTGTAGGGACCGGTCTGCTCTTATCACTACGACTAATTTAATCTTGTTGTGTTTTTATATTTGAGCCTAAATAAATTAGTGCTGGCTGGTAGTTTGTATTCACACGTTTCGACTTGTAAAATGTAAACTTACAAGGATTGTTTAAAAGAGCAACACACAAGTTTCTTGCTTATTCTTCTTGTGATGAGACAGCTTTCCGAATAAGCGGTAGATTTAAAAAAATGATGACTATTCAAAAGTGCTTAAATTAAGTTTATTTGAATAAATGATTTTCTATTCTATTCTATTCTATTCTATTGAGGTGTATTGAGCCGAGAGAACAGTGGTGGCTATCGATGTGTACCGTGTGCAGTTCGCTGGTCTGATGTCCCTGCTGATGGTGTTGGAGGTGGGGCTGGTGTTCTGGGGGGTGCGGCGGCTGCTGGATTGGCTCGACTCCCCCGAGGCGGCGGTCGTGTACGAAGCGCTCGACCTGCGCGACGAGATCCGCACCATCATGAAGTTCATCAACCGGCTCTATCCGCTCCCCTCCAAGATTGATGATCTACTACAAGTTAGTTTCAGTCCATTCATCTATCAAAATTAAAATCTTCGAATTTTTCGGTTTGTTCTGTACTATTTACAAGGATGTATATAAATATAACTTTTTCTCTTGAATCACTGCTTTAGGGAACATCGTAAGACAATAAAGTCCTCGAGTGGCGACCGCGGATCGGAAGACGCAGCGTAGGAAGGCCTCCAGCAAGGCGGACCGACGATCTGGTCAAGATCGCTGGGAGGCGTTGGATGCGAGCAGCGCAGTTGTTCAGCAGTGGACGTCTTCCGGGCTGAGATGATGATGATGATGATGCTTTATTTACTATTTTCCTAGGAAAAGTGATATTAGTAGAGTGGTATGGTATCAATTTGACCAGTTTGGACCACTCTGCGTGACGTGACCGCTGACAGTTGAGTGTGGCTGACAGGAGATGGAGGAGGACCTGCCGCGGAACGTGTACGTGGCGGTGGTGGGGGTGGTGCTGGTGGCCGTCTCGCAGCCGCTGGCGGTGGTGCTGGCGTGCCTGACGGCGCGCGGGCCCGGCCCCGGCCCCGACCCCGACCCCGGCCCCGCGTACTACCACAGTCACCACGACAACATTGACTACAGACCCATGACTGACGACCCGGATATATCGCATCCGTGAGTACGCTTTGCTAATAACAATAATTAAGCTGTGAAAACAAAACATACCAATAATAATAATAATAATAACCAGTCACACAATAAGTACACACACACACATACACACACACACAGACTGCACTTGTATTCGTCCCGTAATTCGTGAGGTAAAAAACAAGCAAAAGTTAAGAAAATGCGACAATAGTATAAATAATAATAATAATAAAACTCTCATTAAATTAAAATTAAATAAACAAATAATTAGAAAAAAGAAAATTATTCAAACAAAAGGCGGCCTTATCGCTCAAAGCGAAGGCACAAATGGAAGAAAAGTAACAGATTCTAGATATAAGAATAATTGCATTTGAGTGCAAAAATATAAAAATTTGTCATTCGTCGTCTATTTTGGACGTGGACGAAGTCGCGGACACAGCTAGTACTATATATTTATGTTTCGTTTCGCTATTACATTATTATATCGTGTATATGTACATATATATACATATTAATAAAATTGGAGTGTCTGTTTGTAATATTGAAATAACCGTTTTTTACTACATGCATATGAATATAAATACGGTACATACACAAAAATAACATTTTTTACAATTTTTGTCTGTCTGTCTGTTTGTTCCGTCTTATCTCTGAAATGGCTGGACCGGTTTTGATGGGACTTTTATTGGTAGGTAGCTGTTGTAATAAGGAGTAACTTAGGCTACTTTTGTATTAGAATTCCACGCGGACGAAGTCGCGGGTACAGCTAGTATACCAATAAAATTATGGTAAATGTTAAGTATTGCATGTATTGTGTATAATCGTACGCACATATATAAGGCAAGCAGTTGTCCCAGATACATCAATAACATGGACCCCAAGAGGCCGCTGATCAGGCCTGTGTACGAGCAACGCCACGGCCGGGTGGAGCCGGTGTGACATTGTCACACTGACACGGACACTGACACTGACAGCGGCCCCTCGAACACACACAAGAAGGCGCTGTGTATGACAACACAATCTTAGTCATCAAGTATGTAAGTAAAGGTGGATTTATATGTTATCTGTGTAGTGACGTGTCGTGTCGTGACGTGATGACTAATTGTCACTTTTATATGTCACTAGCTTTTGCCCGCGGCTTCGCTCGCGTTAATTTATCCCCTTAGGGGTGGAATTTATAAAATCCTTTCTTAGAGGATGCCTATGTCATAGTAGCTTTATGCATGCAAAGTCTCGGACCGATCGGTTTAAAATTGACAAAGTTTCATACAAACTTTCATCACCTATTTTATCCCCTTGGGGGTATAAATAATCAAAATTCTTAGCGGATGCCTACGTCATAACATCTACCTGCATGCCAAATTTCAGCCCGATCCGTCTAGTGGTTTGGGCTGTGCGTTGATAGATCATTATGTCAGTGAGTCAGTCATCTTTGAGTTATATATATATAGATGTTCTGATTCCTTCTGACGATATCACATTGTAGTATGTTCTGCAACTTTCTAACGATACATTGAATCAATACAGCCGTAGCTCTACGTTTCTGACGCGACACAAGAGAAGCCATCACAACTTGTGTTGCCTTCTCTTGTGTCTGGGTATTCTGTCAAACTGCTATGCGTTTCATCTGTAATCACAACACGTTACGCATTACCAGTATTATATGTACTAAACCAGTACCGTTCTGACGCATCATGTCACGACACGTCAGACAATATATATTCACCTTTACCTACTAGTTCTTAAGTTAGTTAAGTTACTAACTTTTTTATATTTTGTTTATTATGATAAAATAGTTACTTATTTTTGTATTGAACAGTTACTTTATAGTTGTCTGTCTATTTTTTTAAATTTTATTCTTCTTTATTTAAGTATAACAAATACAAATAGATATACATCTAAGAGTACACAAACATATTTTTTTATAAATATTAAAATTTTAATTTTAATAATTAATTTTAACAGTGTAGCATATAAGTAACTAACTAACTCGGGACGAATCCCTTTGTCCAATACCGCGTCAAAGGGATTCTACCCGAGGGCCCACCCTCCACCTCCCTTTGGTTGAGAGCGGATGACCTATATCTATATCCGTCCGTATATATATAAATATATATATATATATACAGGCACATACAAATGTAAATTTTTCATCAAACAATTCATGACCAAGTTGTTTGTGATTTAACTAATGCTCCATAACTTGCAGTGCAGTGCTGTAGTATTTGTAAAGCACATGCTCTCCGGTCGATTGTGCAGCTGTAGCTGTAAAGGGGAGTGAGGGGTTGAGGAGCAGGGGGGAAACATCTCTTTATAATTGAGTCCCGTCTCAGTCCGCTGACTGTGATGACTGTGACGCACTGCCAACTAGATATTTAGCTAGCAGTACAGCTATTCTGTAAGCATCACTTACGAATTCGAAGGCGAGATCCGCGCTGACATTGTACATTGGTATTGTGTAAAACTCGACAGCGACTGCAGCGCCACACGCTCGTGAGCGCGATGCAGGTACAACTAGTAATTTTATTATAAACTAGCTGTTCCCGCGACTCCATCCGCGTGGAATTTAACTTTATTTTTCTAAAATAAAAGTAGCCAAAGTTACTCCCTATTACATCAGCTACCTGTCAAAAGAAGTCCCGTAAAAATCGCTCCAGCCATTTCAGAGATTAACCGGAACAAACAGACAGACAAAAATTGTAAAGAAATGTTATTTTGGTGTATGTACCGTATTTATATTCAAATGAATGTAGTATAAATCGGTTATTTCAATATTACAAAATAACACTCCAATTTTAATTATATGTATAGATATAGGCCAACTCAATAGCAACAGCTCAGTAGCAACTTTTTTCGCAAATGAATCGAGTGCCGCGAGTGAAGCGGTGAAATGAGTTGATAAGACGCTTACAGAATAACGATGCTGTGGTATTTCTAAGACTGGCTTATTATTTGTGATAATTTATATTTATATTTATATTATTAATATTTATATCATTTAATGCTCTGTATACTCCATGTAGGTATTATTCAGTTTAAAACAACTATTATAATTTTTCATTAGATATAACGTAATAAGTATCACATTTCTGTCGATTTAATTTATTGTATGTCAGTGTTACAATGGATATCCAATGTAAATTGTAAATGCACCTAATAAAGTAAATAAAATAATAATAATAATAATAATCTTGGGACAATTCACACAGCGCCATCTAGACCGGCTAAAGCTTGTGGTATTGGTACTAGATAACTGATACATACACACATATTTTTTTTTGTAAACACATACATATTATACATAGAAAACACTCAGACCGATACAAACAGTCATACTCATGAATACAAATATTTGTGCCGTGCGAGGAATCGAACCTGCGACCATCGGTCGTAAAGCGGTGTGCTAGACCACTAGACCACCGAAGTCGTCATAATAATGTGTACCAAATAAATGTAGGCAAGAAGGAACAATGTCGTGCCACAGTGCCGGAATGTGGATGAGGATGTGACAGAGAAGTCACAGGCCACCGTTACATCTAATTAAATCAATATTTATTTAAAAGAGCAATACACAAGTTTCTTGTTCATTCTTCTTGTGATGAGTCTGCATTCCGAATGAGTGGTTGGAATAAAGATAATTTATATTTCTATTATTATGTTAACACCTGATACTGAATAGTTAGTTCATTAGCGATGGTTTCTAGTTACCATCAAGCTCAAATATGAAGACGCAGAGCAGAAGTATTAAGTTATCTAAATTCTCTTATTTATTGGTCAAAACATAATTAATATTTTTTAACAGAAATTGTAATCTAACTTTTTTAAATTGAATATTATTGGTAGTGATATTAATGAGCACCCATAAATGGAGTATGTAAGAACTCAACATTTATTTGATTGAAGTAGAAAGCAATGTCGTTGCCTGCTCTAGGTTGGGTGGTCCATTATGTATCATAGACTATATTATAAGCATTTGTACGTGTAATATATTTTAATGTATTTACAGTAATGATCGATGTTTTGTTATTTACACATATTGTGTGACCGCACCACCATGTCGATAAGTCAACGACAGCGATTGTCGTCAGTGGCTGATAATGGAATAGTGCAAACGCTGGCGGGGCACCAGTGGAGGATGATAAGATGAGCATGAGGTCAGGTCAGACGTCAGCGGTTTGTCACCACTCACCATCAACCACCGTCACCATCTCGTTGGACGGTCTAGTGACGGTGGTTGAACACCTACCTGTATTAGCATAGTCGTACTACTCTATACACTGCAACCTATATTATTTCAGGGATGTTAAGGCTATGAAATTTCGTGTACGGATAGGTTAGGTTTAGGCTACAGTATATTATCCTAAGTTATAAGAAGAAATGATATTTTATATTGTTATAAATACATTTCAGGACAGACCATTGAACTTGGCACCCATTTAGATCTCATCTCTTTTGTGGTAGAAGTCAACAATCAAGGCATATATCATAATATTAAACTCGGCTATCATTTCACATTTATGTTTTTGATGGGATAATTTTTTAAGGAATTTCCAATAAAATGGTTACATAACGTGTCTCAATTAGGCTCCGTCCCTGTCCGATATTATCCGACACTTTTATTTCGGATTCGGTTACGGTTACGGCAGGGATGCCATCCCTATTATTTACTATAAAATTCGACTTGAAAAACTTGTGGTAAGACTTATTAGTAACTACATTCATAACTTGCGTGTAAAATGCGAAAATTGAAAATAATTATTATATAATTAGAAGAAATCGAATTAAGCCATTCGAGACCATAAGGCCGAGTAGGTATTGTTATTTATTTATTAACTTTAATGTGCATTAAATTTAATAAATAAATAATATAGTACAGTACATGCGACGTTTTCTACCAGGCAACCATGGGTGGTGCAGAGAATGATTGTTGGTGGGGCAAATATTATAATAAATGTAAACAAATTCTTATAATTGTAGCTGTTTAGGATATTTTCGAAACCATAAAATGCCAAATATTTAGTAATTACTTAGTATTTCAATAAGCATTGATAAATGCTAAAAACAATGATAACTCGGTTCCTTGCTATCGCGAATGTAATCGCTCACTATTTCAATTCTACGGAATTGTTATTGTAATTAATATATTAGAATTTAGTCTCTAATCTCTGACCTTCGATATAGTCATATATCTTCATTAGATACATATATATATATATATATATATATATATATATATAAAACAAAGTCGCTGCCGCTGTCGGTCCGTCCCTAGGTATGCTTAAATCTTTAAAACTACGAAATGCATTTTGTGGCCATTTCTTTTTAATAGATAGATTGATTCAAGAGGAAATTTTATATGTATAATACATGTATAATATTGTAGAGAAACACTGATAAATTTAGAGGTTTCTAATGTGATGTAAAAGAACTCATTTTTTTGCGTTTAAATTGCAAACGCAGGCTGAACTCCACGAGATAAATCAAAATAATGTCCTACGGTAGGTATTGTACACTTTAAAAAGGTCATAAAAAAGTCCACGATGCTATATGTTATCTCTTAAGGATAATCCAAAATAACCATTTTATATCCTTTATATTTTACTTTTACGAAGCGATTTTAAGCAATACAGTATTAATTTTCCTCCAATTAAGTACCTTAAATACATTATCCATTTAATATAGATCAATTTGGCCCTTACAGCATGTACTTTAAATTAATATTTCCGAAGATATTACAGATTTAAAATGCAGGGACAAAGAGGCGCGGCGCGCATGTTTTTACATGTTTGTACTGTCTAATGACAAAGAAAGCTGTAAAGGTTGTTTATAAGGACATTCTGTAGTAGGTAGTATATTTAGTATCAGCATGCACCCGTGCGAAGCCGGGCGGGTCACTAGTTTAAGTAAACATATTTTAGGCAGGTTAGGTTGTTGTTGTGCTATTACTCGTATTATGAATTTATCATAGTATAATTAGTTTTTATCATTAGATTATTAATTTTTCATAGAATTAATAGTTTGAATAATTGTACATGCGAAACATATTACTATTGTGATGACCTTCAACCAGCTCCAGGACTAGTGACACGGTTTGCACTAAATTGGAGGAAAATTTTGGCAGTAGACAAGTTCGTGCGTAAGGTCTTTTTTATTGTCGTGCGTTATATGATTGTATCTGCCTGGGTGTTTTCTATGTATATTATATATGTATTTACAAAAACAATATATATATATACATGAATTTGTATCAGTTGCCTAGTACTCATAACACAAGCTTTAGCTAGCTTAACTTGGGTCTAGATGGCGCTGTGTGAATTGTCCTGATATTATTATTATAATGTAAATGCACGGACACCATCGTCAACCTCATTCACCATAACATGTGTGGGCTGCACCTACCTCGGCTGCTGCCGCGGCGTCCATTTGTAAGTGTGCTGTAAGTAAGTGAGTAAGTAAGTAAGTCGGTTATTTGCATTACAGACAGGATAGTAAACAATTAAGTCACAGTGATGATATCAGCAGGCGGCGCTGTAATATGCCTTTTTATAGAAGGCAAGCAATTTTTTATTACTAAGCCTAAAAGTTACATTACACAATTAAATATATTATAACAATTATATTCTAATTTAATATTTAACGATTATTATACAATGTTGTTACAATTATTATTATTATTATCATTATTACATTATATTACATTTTTATTCATAGTGTTTATAATTTAAATAATCATCTAAAGAGTAGAAACAGTGCACTAACGGCCATTTAGTGAATTTATTTTTAAAATGTTGTCCTGTCAGTTCTATGAAATCTGTAGGTAGTCCATTAAATATTTCATGTGCCATGTAAGACACATCGCTTTGAAATAACGTTAGGTTACTTTTGGGCAATACTATCTTATTCTTTCTCGTTGTTCTTGCATTACCTTTTATTTGCCAGTGGGATGTAAACATACGTAAATTCTGTTTCACGAACAAACATATTTCGAGTATAAACACGGTAAAGGAGGAATATTTAGTTTCTGAAACATTGGTCTACATGAATGTCTATTTCCCAAATTACATAGTGCTCTTATACAATTTTTTTTATCTCAGTGGAATTGCCCCAAATTATTAAACCGTAGCGTAGCACTGACGGTATATAACCATGATATGCATTAAGTGCCGTCTGGAGTGAAACGAAAGGGCTTTGTGAGTAAATGAAACGAAAGGGATCGTTCAACATTGATTTATTTTATTTATACATCTTGAAATTGAAAGTACAACGCACGACATTCGTCGCGCCTACTGTAGACATATTGATACAGACAGTGCAAAAATATATAACCGGTGTCGGGCCGCGAGCGTCCGAGCCTCGGACGCCGGACGCCGGACGCCGGACGCCGGACGCCGGACGCCGGACGCCGGACACCGTAGTCCGGGGCTCGGAGCTCATCGACCCCGCTTATATCGAACCTATACAACAAGAATACATTATGTCTATCGTAATAGAATATCTCATACGTTAACAACAAAATATTATACTATCTAGAGTGGAGATCGGAGCGAGACTAAACAATGACGCCAGGCTCCTCCTGACGCAGCGTAGGCCTCCCGATCATGTACATACACGATACGTTCACAGTTATGTTCTCGTCTGTTACAAATCTCCGCAGATGAGGGAGCAGCTGGATGCTGTACGCGCTCTGCGTCGCACACGGCCGGTCAGTGCTCTGCTGCGACGTTTTCACAGTTGCCATTCGAGCGGTTATACAATTTTTACAATAGCAACTGGTATATCCGATCTGAGGCGATCGTAGTTGCTTGGTCTTCAGTAGACCGTGTGACAAGGCGTCACCAGGTGGTGAGGCAAGAGAGAGAACTTGAAATTAAAACCTTGAAATGGTACTGGACAGCTCTTTTCATTAATTCTAAGTTGCAATAAGTAACCAGAATGCGAGAACAAGTAATTCTCTCAGCTATAAACATGTACATACTTAAATATTATATTGTATATAATAATAAATATAGATTCTACTCATCACACCATGATATGACATCGCGTTTTACATCGTACACACAAACGTGTCCGTAACACCCTCCCACCCCCACCCCGCGACACACACACACACACACACACACACACACACACACACACAATAGATAGCGTGACACGAACGCAGCAACAATGAACACCGCGAATAAACACTTGACAGAAGTTCAATAGCGATAGAATGTGAGTGCCGTGTGTATTGTGTGCACACACACGCCGCATGACGCCACGCACTGCGCGACACACACACACACACACACACACACACACTCCGCACTCATACACACCATACACACGCGCGCACACACACAATCCGCCATGCGGCCCACAGCTGGTAGCTATAGCAATATAATTCAGATAAACATTATATACAAGTACACCTCAGCCGCGACATGTTACTTTAAATTACACAAATGCACACCTGATACTCGTATCATTGACTGATATAATATAATACTATCTACTTACGGTGATTTTAAAAGTCTAGTAGTTACTATACTAGGCGGTTGTCTGAAGATAAATAGTCGGGTACAACAACACAAGCAACAATATTAAATGGCATCCTCAATATTAAAATCGCAGACGCCTAACAGGGACTTACATCAATATAAACGTAACAATAGTCGTGATATACAATCAACAAGAACAATATATCTAACGCATACATCATTCATCAAAACATAACTATTTTCACGTACGTTCTAGAACCTACAGCAGGTACAGATCTGTGCTCGGCTACACTTATTCGTATATAATTACTCGAAACGAAAATTGTATGCCATCATAAAACACACACAAGTTTTTGTCGTTATTATGTAGGTAAGTTAAAAACTTATACCACATTAAAATAATTCACAATATTTTAGTAAACTTTGAAAATTAACGATATATCTAAAATCGTTGAATTTAAATATTATATATAGGTACTATAACATTTAGTTACACTAAAGGTGGATTTATGATTGTGTGATGTGTCGTGACTCGTGACATAACTCTTTAGAACGGTTTCGGTTTAGTGTATGTGTGTGTACATGATGTGTTGTGTCTCATCAACGATCCCGGCCGAGTCAGAGCGGAGGGGTGTGCGAACGCCATGACACGTCAGCAAATGTACGAGCGACAGTGTTGTATTGTGACGCGTCGGAGTTACTACGACTGAGCTACAGCTATTGATTCAATATATCGTAAGAAGGCGGCAAAACATCACATATAAATGTGGAAACTTGTCACTACACGACACGTCACGACACTTCAGATAAATATATATCCACCTTACACTTCGGGAAAACTTTACGAGTAAATTCGGTCATTCGGTCCAGCCCGGCGCGGCGTCCCCGGCCGCCACCGGGCCGGCGGGGGACGAGCCCTAGGTTGTGCTTGGTGTGTGCTAACTACAGACTAACTGCAGCACAGTCCACATCGAAAATAGGACAACTCACCATCGAGCTCTAACATATAACAGTTACAAGCACGGAGTGGAGCGCTGCGACGGTGTTAATGTAACTTCTGTCCGGTGCAGCTGACTGCAGTCGATCACTGAACGTTTCAACTCTAGTGAGAAAAAATAATGCAATGTTAGGGGTGCCGCGTGGAGCTTCCTGTTTATCTGTAGGCGGGTGCCGACTGTTGGTCTGCCAGGAACGGGTTCGCGGGCCTGGAGGGCGGCGGCTGCGGGCCCTGCCCCGGCACGCTCAGACTCTCTGCACCGCTGTAGCTCTGTAACCAGCCACACACAAACATCACAATCAACCAGTTACCTTTACAATATCCTGTTTACTCTAATATGTGTTTAATGGCAAACAAGCTGAAGGCCAATGTACAATGTACAATGTACAATGTACATCAAGAAGACACGTGAGGATTACGTTTTTTTGCTTCGGGGATATTAAAAAAAAAATTGGTACTAATACTTAATACTCAATAATTGGTAATTACTGTAATGATTTGTTTAATCTTATTATTATTAATATTATAAACGTGAAAGTTTGTGAGTATGGATGAATGCTTGTTACTCTTTCATGAACCACTGAACGGAATTTACTGAAATTTTACAGTAATATAGCTTATATATACATATATCAGAACAACATATGACTGTAAATGTCACGCGGGTGAATCCGCGGCTAGTATTGTTATATAATGTAGAATTCTAATGGTGAATGAATTTTTCATATCAATCCAGTAGTTTCGGAGCCTATTCAAAGCATATAAACAAAGAAACAATCAAATCTTTTCTCTTTATAATATTAGTATAGATATTACAGATGATTTCGCGTTTCATAACTTGTGGCGTTGTGTTGTGAAACTTGTGAAAATACCCTTTGGAGAGCATTTTCACTAATTACTTAAATAATAAATGACTTTGCACGGGTGTTTTATTTATGAGGTGTGCTGTGTGTGAGTGTGTGCGTGTGTGTGAGTGTGCGGGGTGGGAGGGGGGGGGGAGTGTACCTGCGTGGCGCCGTACGAGTCGTGGTGGGCGAGGTCCGCGAGGCGCGTGGAGGAGAGCGCCCTCGGCAGCGGGTTGGAGGGCACCCCGTGGGGGGCCAGCACGCCCGCCTCCGCCACCGCGCGCGCCTCCTCGTCCGCGCCCGCGCCCCCCACCTCCGCCTCCGGCTCCCCGCGGAAGTTCACGAACGCGAACGCGGCCAGCGCCACCGCGCACAGCAGCCCGTAGCCCGCGAACGTGCGCGTGGTGCCCCACTTGGCCACCGCTATGCCGCCCAGCACCGCGCCGCACCCGCGCCCCAGGCCGTGGTGTAGGCCTACAGTTAACGAACGTTACACATACGAAACAGACAGTTCCTGCTACTACAATAAGGTTATATTGTAGACTAGCCGTTACCGCGACTTCGTCCGCGTGGAATTTAACTTTATTTTTCTAAAACAAAAGTAACCTAAGTTATTCATTATTACACCAGCTACCTGCCAAAAAATGTTCCTTCAAAATCGGTCCAGTCATTTTAGAGATTAGCCGGAACAAACAGACAGCCAAAAATTGTAAAAATGTTGTTTTGGTGTATGTACAGTATTTATTATTCATATGCATGTATTAAAAACGGTTATTTCGGTATGACAAACAGACACTCCAATTTTCTTTGTATGTATAGACTATTGTAGTGCGTTTAGAAGACTGTCTGATGGGCAGAGAGCAGGCGTAGTTTCCCGTTCTGAAATGTGTGCGTGTCTGACCTTGTAAGACGCCCTGGGCGGAGGAGCGGAGCCCGGGCGGCGCGCCGTGCGCGATGTAGGAGCAGCAGGCGGCCCACACGGCCGCGTGCGTCACGCCCTGCACGAACTCGAACGGCAGCACCCACCACGGGTCCTCCAGCCACGAGATGTACAGGAAGCGCAGCACGTTCCCCGCCAGGCCCAGGCACAGCACCTGCACACGCACACACACACACACACACACACACATGTGATCAGTATAATAGACATTCTTTAAGGCTTTGAACAAGGACAATATAATTTTATACATAAATCGGCGTATAATTTATAAAATCCTGCGAGCCTGTACATGTATTATATATATAAACCTTCCTCTAGAATCACTCTATCCATAACAAAAAATAAGCTTTAAAATCCGTTGCGTATTTTTTAAGGTTTAAGCATACATAGGGACAGACCGCGACAGCGACTTTGTTTTATACTATGTAATTGTACTAAGGTGTTAAGTCCGCCATATAAACTTGTAACTCTGTATTAAGTGGGTTAAATAATAACAATATATAAATAAATAAATTAAACAGTAGCTACATTTAATAGTGAATTTGTATCTGTTGATTACCTTAACATGGCCCATTTGAGTAATGAGCTTGAAGCTGAAGAAGTACGCGAAGATCTCCGAGATGTGATTGATGACGGAAGCGACGCCGAAGAGAGTGGGCGACCCGCCGATGTCCTGTCAACAGAATACAGTTTACAACTAGGTCTGTAGCCGACGCTTGTATCGCAGGTCATGAGGCTGCAGCAGACGGTCATGTACCTGAAGATGCCAGAAAAGGAACGTGAATATGAGGCCGATGCCAAAGCCCATGAACCAGGCCACCAGCAGGAACGAGGCCGCCTTCACGTTTTGGAACTGGCGCAGTACCGTCACCCACTCGGGCATCTCCCGCGTCGTCTGCGCGAACACCTGGCGGCGGAATGAGAGAGACATGAGAATTAGACATGTTAACATAAACTCGGGGCCAATTATAATCAATTTAATCGGCTTATTTATTATTTTATTTTATTTATTAGTAACCAACGGCGTTATAATTTAATTTACATTAATGTATGTTGTAACATTAGAGCTACTATAGGTTGCACTTAATTAACACAAAGTACCTATATTGTATTGCGCTAAAACAAAACAACCAAATAGGAAATGAATGAATCAACTGAACACATAAAAAAATGAATGCATGAATGAGTGTGGAAGGTATACTTCTCCATATAATATATACTATATACTGATAATACATTCATTATACTTAAATAAAGAATAAAACCAAATGAAAATATTGTATTTCGGAAAATTTACGTTTGTAGTTTACCGACTGTATCGTAAGTGATCAGTTGAAAAATATTTTTAAATACACAATGTGAAAAAATGTGCGTCGTAAGACAAATTAATTGGACTAGTGCTTCTCTGGAAAATAATTGTTATCGACTATCATGTGATCTCTGGGGAGAAGTCAAAATTAGTTTGGAAATATTTATAAAAGGCAGATTAATAGGTATAATAGGTTGTTGTAGGTGTGGTTGTAGTGGGTCTGAGGTGTGGAGAACCTTGGCATGTTGCAGCGGTGGCTGGCGGGCCTGCGGCGCGCTGGTGTCCAGCCCCGGCAGCTGCAGCTGTTCGGCCAACTGCTGCTGCAGCTTCTCCTCGTGGGTGGGCTCGGACGGCGCCGCCGGTGCCTCCGCCGTGTGCACCTCCGGACTAGCGAACTCGTATTTGAACCTTATCTAAACCAACAAATATTGTTTGCTATAGATTTCAGAAATTAATGCCAGCGATTACGATACATTTTTCTCAAACAACAATAACTTTCAAATCAGTATGAAATAATTAATTGAATAGAGAGCGTCATGTAATGATTTACTATACATAAGTAGGTACTTATATTAATTTAGTAAGTATTTTGCCGAAAATTTGGCCGAAAAAAACACTGTGTCACAATTCATATTTCGCACTGACTCTCAAAGATGAATCCAAGAGAGGCCAGTAAGTTCACTTCCTGCCACGTTAGATTCTAATATAGTTATATTAGAATCCAACGTGGCAGAGAATATAATGTAAGCATAAATATAAACAATGAGTAATATAATTAGGTAGGCCCCTGAGTAGATTTACCCAGGGCCCACAAATTCACGGTCCGCCCCTGGTCTGACTACCTCTTATGAGTGGCTACTATTCTTTTCTCTACAATATTTTAAGAATTAACATAACATATCGTATCGTAAATACCTGCGACGCGGTCATAAGTGCAGCCCCCATGAGCACGGAGAACGTGGCGAAGCATATGGTGTAATTTTTTTCGTATCGTTGCGGCCCACCGCACGGGTGCGAGCTGAAGGCGGTGCTGTGGTCCAGTGCGATGCCCACGAAGAACATGGCCAGCCCCCAGCCCAGGGAGCCGAACATTCGTTGATGGCCGTACCTGTGACGAGGGTCGCACTCGTGTTACCGGTACATGTACGAGCGTGGACGACACAGATTGTTATGTTATGTACACATACACGAACACGAACAACGAACAACGAACAACGAACGACGCCGTTTATGGTTATTTTTATCCATAAAAGACTTTAAAAAAATTTAAACAATGTACAAAAGGTTCGCCTGTGTGAATGTGAAATTATATCTGTCTGATTTCTAACATTCCAGGTATAAACGGACCTTAATGAAATTGGACGTGAATATAGATTCTATACCAAGAACACAAAGGTTCTCGTTGTCCATTCGGCTAGTTTGTTGTATAATGAGTAAACAATAAGTTGTACTGTACTGTATTACCTGTCAGCATCTTCCCCCAGGAGCGTTATAACAGCCGAGTCGGCGAGTGTTATAGCGGGCGCGCTGAAGAATTCGCCAATAACCACCAGTAACAGAAGAAGAAAGAACGTCTTCTGTATGTCGGGAGTCCGGTACACGATGTACGAGTGGAGGGGCGTAACCCAGTCGCTATTTTTTTCTGGATCGTAATTTTTAGCATCACTGACCGGGAGCGGTGAGCCCTCGCGACCGCCTGCTGCGGGTCCTTTGAATTTCCTTGTGGCTGGCCATTCTTCGTCGTAGTTTGGAGAAACCAATTCATAGGAGTTATTGTTCATCGGCTGCACGCATGCCACGGCTGCGGGCTGCACCCAGCTCAGCGGCAGTGTGAAGACCACCCAAGCTCCGAGCGAGGCCAATAGAAGCACACGGCCTTTCTGCCACCTGTCCGCTAGACTCCCCCAGAACGGTGCCGACAGGAATTCGACAAAAGGTCGCGTGCCGATGAGCAGTCCGCACTGGCCCGCGTTCATGCCCATCTGCTTGAAGTATACGCCCATCAATGGGAAAAGCGAGCCGAATGCCGAGTAAAAGAAGAAGTAGAAAGTCTTGACCGTCAGCAACTCGGGGTCGACCGCGTCCGGACCGCACAGGAGCTCCAGCAGGTCGCTGCGGCCGCGCACCTTGTGGGTCGCCTCCTTCGGCGCCGGGTACCTGTTCATACCGTAACAACTGGTTAACATTGCTTGCCAGGTGTGCTCTTCTCCGTTAAGAGGTAGATGTCAACCTTCTATTAGCACATCGGCCAAACGACATGGTATAGGGTTTGTAGAACTTTAATTGTTTTTTAACAGAATCGTTTAGTATTGATTGTAATTAAATTTGGATTACATGTATATAGTAAGTACATTATGTAGATATTGATGATTATTTTATTACCGAGACATGTCTCGGTAATATGAGAGAGGTGAGATGAGACACCGGCCGGGCCAATGTAATCTGTGAACATTAATAACTAAGATTGCATGTGGTGTTTACCCATGCAAAAAAATGTATTTCATTCTTTCTTTTAGTTGTTTAGGACCTATATTACAAGTTTTGCTTAGTTGGAGATTAAATGGCGCTCTGTGAATTGACCTGACTTAATATTATTTCTTTCTTTACTCTTTATTTATTATTGTTATGAAAATTGAGCCAACAAGAACTACTCAACTGGAAACGACATTACCCCCAATAAACGAACACAATAGGCGTGGGTGGCTCCCGGAGTCGCAGTAGTACCTACGCCAAATATAATTGAACGAATCGCAACGTGAATTATAAAACACTTTGGAATTGTAAATATAAGGTTGCAGGTCAGGTGACAATACAATTAATAAATATCTACAAATTAACATCAAACGACGCACTTTGCTATTAAATTGGATTGTAAGTGATTGACTGACTGATTTAATCTTGTTGTGTTTTTATATTTGAGCCTAAATAAATTAGTGCTGGTTGGTAGTTTGTATTCACACGTTTCGACTTGTAAAATGTGAACTTACAAGGATTGTTTAAAAGAGCAACACACAAGTTTCTTGCTTAATCTTCTTGTGATGAGACAGCTTTCCGAGTAAGCGGTAGATTTAAAAAAATGTTGACTATTCAAAAGTGCTTAAATTGAGTTTATTTGAATAAATGATTTCTATTCTATTCTATTCTATTCTATACTAAGTCGCCAAACATAATGTCAAAACCATAATATAACGAGATTTCGGTTCCCGTTCCGTCATACTCCTGAACGAGTGTTGCTTTTGGGGACTGGTCTGTTCAGGTTGCGAACACTGATTAGATTTTTTGTGTTTTGCAATAGCATACGCTGGTGGTCACTATTCTCTCAAATTTGAATTTAAATGAATTTGTATTATTGTAAACATGTACAACTTTTATTTAAACAGAATACGAGCTGAGTTTCTTGTCAGTTCTTCTCATCTCGAAATCATTCCGTACTGACGGTAGATTTGACATATCATAAGAGTCTGTAATAGACCTACATGAATAAAGATATTTTGAATTTGAATTTTGAATCAGTTCTCTTTGCTGCAGATACTGTACAATTCAAAAGTGACTTCCTCTCGGGTTGTGGCTTAATTAAAAATGTATAAAAGTTCCCGTATGTATACAGTATAAATTCCCGGCTGTATATAACTCTTGAGGAACCCAATTAATGCGTGTTTACCATACGCTCTGTTTATATTAATAATTGAATAAAGGAATGAGCAACCATTGAAATATAAGGATGTCATCAGTTGGTGCTATAAAATGTTGCCTCTATAAGTATACCTACCAATTGATGTAGGTCATGTTATATTATAAAGTCACCTACTTACGTACAACCCACCCCATAGCAAAATGGAGATAATTATGTTGTATAGAAGATGACAACTGCAAGCTCTCCTCCCACACCAGAACAGAAATTTGTGTTTTATTTTAACTTAAATGCACAGAGATCGATACCCAATTATATAAACTTTACAGCCATTTTGTGTTACAGTACAAATGAAAATTTATATTAAAAACTAAACATGGCACTGAGAAAGGATGTGATTTTAGACTTTCCTCCTGTAGCGCCATGTTCATGATTGTTTGTTTCAGGTGGTACTTTATTTATTCGTTATATCATGATAATTCTTAACATTCATCTTTATTCACTACTAGGCGTATAATGTATATCTGTGTGTGTGTGTATGTGTGTGTGTGTCACATCCCGCAGTCACATCTGTAATGTAACGCAACACTACCAACTGAATCTCTTCAATCTTCGGATCGTTCTGTCGACTGTAACGCCCCCGCGGCCTCACTCATATACTGAACACGACAGAGGCGTCAGAATCACCTGAGTCCATTCTTAGGTAACTGTGTTTACCTAGCTACATGTAGTCGTAGAGGGAGTATTATATACATATATATATATGAGGGGTGGATGATGATGGTGGTGGTGTCCTGCCGGTGGCGCGTGGTGGTCGTACCTGGTGGCGTCCACCTCGCCGTACTCGTCGGCGTGCACGAGGGGCCGCGCGACGTGCGGCGCGGCTGGCTGCTGCGCCTCCATGGCGGAGCCCGGCGGAGACGCGGCGGTCGAGAGCGGTGGTGGCCACTCGCCGCTGTCGCTGCGGCGGCACTGTGCGCGGCCCGCCGCCCGCCACCACCCGCCACATCTCGCCACCGCGCTCCGTCCCCGCGCAGCTCGATACCGCCACGCCTGCGCCTCAGCCACTTTTTTGATAAATCAGTAATTAGGAAAAATGCGCTTATTTGTATACAGATAAGTGGTACATTGCTTTGATGTTATGAATGAAATACTACAACGTGTCCTAGTGGACGTGCTTATCATTTTATCCTACGACTTGATTTAATACCAACACAACATTGTAAGTCAGGCCAGTTCTCATATACCAATTATTACTTTCGATTGCTAGTTACTACTAATAATAAAATAGGAACCGATAAGTAACATGTTTAGAACTTGCGAAGGCTACAGTATATTTCGTATATGAAAACTAGCCAAGTTAGACCTTAGGCTACAGTATATTATCCTAAGTTATAAGAAGAAATGATATTTTATATTGTTATAAATACATTTCAGGACAGACCATTGAACTTGGCACCCATTTAGATCTCATCTCTTTTGTCGTAGAAGTCAACAATCAAGGCATATATCATAATATTAAACTCGGCTATCATTTCACATTTATGTTTTTGATGGGATATCATTACTTTTTGTACATAAATTATACGAGGTACTTATTTATAACTAAATTAATACCAAATTATTTTTGATAAATTACTGTATTTTAGTATATTTACGGGGTATAATTGTCTTTTTTTTGTGTTATTTTCTATATTTTCTTGTAACGTTTAAATGTTCAAGTGCAATGCCAATTCAGTATCAGGAATTTTTGGGCAAATCGGGGCGGTATAACGTCCACAGATGGTTGTACTCTACAATAGAGCTCTCGTGACTTGGATCTAAATTGTTAAGACGTACTCCATCTAAGGTTTTAACTCTGGAGAGTCCAACGTAAACCTGCCCTTTATTAAATATTGAGGAGCCTATGTTGAGAAGAGGACTGCCAAAACTAAGGCCTTGTGATTTGTGGATAGTAATAGCATATGTTAAGCAAATACGGAATTGTTCTCTATCAACATATACATTATTTAATATCTGAAACTTCGTATTGACACGTTATAGTTCGTAAAGACGATTATGTAACAAATTGACTGTTATCTATTGAATTCTCAAGAAAACAATTTGTTACCAATGAGTTCTCATTCTCGAGTTAACTATACATTCCTACTTATAACTATACTAAAATTGTTATTAATTTTTGGTTTAAACTATTGTCTATACCATACGTATTTACTAAAATAATGTAATAATAATATAATCACAAATATATAAGTATAATTTAAGAAAGCTATAAATTTCGTAGCATAAATCGCAACCTTATAGGTTAGATATCGAGAAACAAAACATTGAGACATATGAGGGCGGCTGCCATTCGCTCGGACAGGTTCGCGTCAACGTTTTATCGCACCGCTCCCACACGGCGCCGCCGCGGCGCCCTATACCGAAATGCCTATTGTTTAATAATTATTTATAAAAATAATGATTTTACACTATCGATGTGCGCTAAATATTGAAACAATAATTAATACCAAATCTCAGTTAATAACATAATAAATACGAAATTCGACTATACTCCTAGTTATAAGTACGAGTATATTTTAGACAGAATCTAAATTATAGCAACTAGTGTTTACCGCTCAATGCAATATTTGAAGTTTGCTAGTTATCGACACTGATGTGAAGGGGTCAACGTAAATTGGTAATGATCGACGTTTTCATACAATATTACTTTCCGTCCAGTACAAGATGAGATTTTTCGCCAGGGATCAATGTCAATTGGTGGCTATCGACGTTTTCATAGAATTTTAGTATTCGTCCAGTGTAAGTTGAAATAGAATCAATTAAAGTGAAAAATTGTAGTAAAATGATAACAATTTACCAGTTTCAGATTTTTTCCTTTATATTCACCTAATTACCTATCTGCATACCAAATTTGAACTTCCTAGGTCATCTGGAAGTGGGTTATAATTTTGATCTATAGTTGATCAGTGATAAAAATGACGATTTTTGGACATTAATATCTAAATAACCGTTTGAGATATGTTTATGAAATTTGGAACACATATTTATCTCGCAAGTCTCAATATATGAACCAAATTTGACAGGTTTATGTGAAAGAGTTTTTGAGTTATGAGGGGGTCAAAAGTGGCTCCAAATGGTTCGTGTAAATATACACACGGTGCTGCAGGCCAGTTTACTTGAAACTCGGCTTGACACGCTGCCGCGTGTCTAGATTTGCTATACTGTAATACAACAGACAATCTTCAGGAGTACTTTCACTTTGAGTGGCTGTCTACATTTTTTGTATTTATTTAATTACTTATAATATAATATGTTTCTTGATTCCATTTATTATGAGACACATGTAGTTGTAACAAACAATACCAACATGAAGAACTCAATGAAGTAAGTAGGTACCTACTTACTTAATTGAGACAAGTCACTGTATGTATGTATGTGCCTGTAATTAAAACAATATCTAACTACAGATAATTTCATAACTACATACTATAGGTACACTCTTTTTTATGCATAAGTATGAATGTATACTTACTTATGAAAATTTTATTGCACGGGAATCGAACCCGCAACTATGGGTATCTGGGACAGTGGCTCAAACGTGACATCCAGAGCGATCAGCATATTAATTTAAAATTAGATTTCCCAGAGTTGTGTTGCGGAGGGCGGACAGTTCTGAAGCGGCGGGCGGCGGGCGGCGGGCGGCGGGCGGTTTCTATAGTCCACTTTAGGACCAGAGAGGACTATTAATAGTGGGGACCACCGGCCCCGCGGCCAGCGACGTACCATCATCCACAAAGAGCAAGCTAACGGAAACCCAAAACTATGAACATGAACATGAACATGAACATATTGATTTATATAATAGTAAATGTAAATATGTGTAGTGGCCGTGTATGAGAAGGCGTTATATGTTCAGAAGAGGGAAATTATTGAATGAAACTACGACCGTACACAAGTATACTATTTTTATTCATTACTGCAGCATTTACAAACTACAAAATTGCACCTAAACGTTATTTGAAACTAAACTATAATCTATAGTACACACACACCGAGTACCTATAACCACAGGTAACATAATATTACATACTACAACTAATGTATGGCACAGAGGGAAGGGGGTTGTTAGTGATGTGGACTCATGACCCCGTTACTAGCAATGTACCATGTCAGGTTGACCTCCACGCGGTTCCCCCTGGAAACCATCGTGATACATTTTTGGTAAATATATGTCACGATGTACTAACTGATCTGACCTCATGTTCATCTTATCATCCTCCACTGGTGCCCCGCCAGCGTAAACAGTCAGTGCAGGCGGGTGCACCATACCATTATCATCCATAAAAAATGTATGGCACATTAAAAAAAATACAAGAGTAGAGGATGCCAATTGTGGATCATAAACCAACTTTCTGAGAACAAAAAATATATTAATACTCGTATTCTTATACCGGTACTCAACTCGTATAGTTCTCGTCGTGTTGTTTTCTAGGCGCTCCAGTTTGACGAGAAAAATATGTGTTCACGTAAAAATAATAGAGTTATTTTCAAATATACAATTACAGGGGCTGCACATACTGCTGTTAGTACATATTTATAGAGTACATATATCCTGGCAAGTAACATTCAATTGGGGCTCTATGGACAGGGGCGGATCGTGAATTTGTAGGGCCCTAATTATATTACTCAACTAAAAAAATACACCGACCAGGAATTCCCCGTTCCTTTCAATAGAGGCACACTTGCATGGGTTGATTGATCCCAGGGTTGCCGAGCATATGATAGGTTTTTTTAATATTCTAGATATTTTTTTATAAACTAAATATCATTTCAGTGGGGACTGGGGGCCTTTTGTATCCTCGGGGCCCTGGGCTGCAGCCCAAAAAGCCCTTAGGTAGATCCGTCCCTGTCTATGGTCAGTATCAACAATCATCTCAAGGAGTACGTATATAGTACATACCTACTCCAGTCGCTACTCCCGACTGGTCGTGACACTGTCATTGTACGGTATGCTAGAAGTATCACTGGAATTTCCTGCAGTCTGATATATTGAATTACAATCAGTTAGTTGCTTCTCAATTTATATACTCAAATATTCTATATGGTCACAAAAATCTTCACCTGTTTCCAAAAAACAGCAATATTCACAATAGTAATACTAGATTTAAAAACAAGCTTCCTGTCCCCAAGTATCGTTAAGAAAAAGTCAATAGGTCTGTTATGGGAATAGGTAAAAAAATTTACAATAAGATACCAAAAGATATACTGGAATTACTCTTAAATAAATTCAAAACATCTGTTAAATCATATTTACTGAGCAAAGCCTATTACTCACTAAACGATTACTTGAATGACGAGCGTGCATGGCAATAGTTGGTCATGCACGGGATTTTCATTTAATGTTAGACATAGACACCTATATAAATATACATTGTAAATAAACTGGCTTAAAATTCGCTTTCCACAATCAACTTATGATCCATCGATTCACAGGAAACACGATTGTACTAATTTCTTAATTCTACATATTCATTTCATAAGTATACATATAGAAAGAGAAAAGAACTGACAAGAAACTGAGCGCTATACCTATGTATAGCGCTCAGTTTCTTGTCAGTTCTTCTCACCTCGAAATCATTCCGAACTGACGGTAGATTTGACATATCATAAGAGTCTGTAATAGACCTACATGAATAAAGATATTTTGAATTTGTATATTACTTTGTGGAGCACTATACAAGTTCAGCGGAATAGAAAATAGACCCATTTATCGTTGTCTTATTTAAACTGTTAGTATGGTTCGTTGAGAGGAGTGTGTGCACGCTATAAAATTACCGTGTATAAAATACCTACGTTACAATGTTTTATTACGTCTAATTAAAAAAAATGCACTCTAACTTAATCTTTAATCATTACAAGCAATTGTGTCAATTTGGTTATCCGAAACCGTCAAATATGTAGATATTGTTCAGTATTCGTTCTTCTATTGCTTCTGCTTTCCTATTACATAAAAAAGGTATTATTATTTGCTTTATTCAGAGAATTCAACATACTTACAATGTATTGTACAGTTCATACGAATGAGCTTTGACTTGAATCGTATCCTTGAACGTAATTTTATATGGAGAGGAGTGAGGGCGCTGCACCCTCACGTGGGCGGTGAGAGTGCACGGGCGCGGTCGGGGGTGGCCCGCGGGGGGGTGGGCGAGTGCGAGCGGCGCGCGGCGTGCCTCGCCAGCCGCACGCTGGCCGCGTGCATCGACGAGCGGCGCCGCGCGCGCGGGCCGCACGACGACCGCCGCCGCGCCTCCTCCGCGGCCTCCTCCGCCGCCTCCGCCACCTCCTCCGCCTCCTCCGCGGCCTCCTCGCTGCCCGCCGCCGCCGACGACGAGCGCGGCGCGGACCCGCTCGACGACCCGCTCAGCGGACCCTGCACACGTTAACCGGGTCGCGAGGGGGAGGGGATTAGTAATAGTGTACCATGACAGGTTGACCTCCACGCGGTTCCCCTTGGAAACCGTCGTTATAAATTCTTAGTGAACTCGTCACGACAGACTAACTGACCTGACCTCGTGCTCATCTTATCGTAATTCACTGGTGCCCCGCCAGCGTACTGTACGTCTTTTTTTTATACCACGTAGGTGGCAAAGAAGCATACGGCCCATTTGATGGTAAACGGTTACCGCAGCCTATGGACGCCTGAAACACCATGGGTGTCACGTGCGCGTTGCCGACCCTTAAAAAACCTTAATACACCCTTCCTGAAAACCCCCATGCTGTAGTCTCTCGAGAAAACCTCGGCAGGTAGTTCATTCCACAATGTAAGTGTACGCGGGAGGAAGCTCCTCTGAAACCGCACCGTCCGAGACTACATAGGTTTCATCGTGTGGGAATAAATTCCCTGTCGATGGCGAACGGTACGATGGTAAAAGGTAGCCGTAGGCATCATATGGAACAATTCTTCAGAACAGAGACAGAACACTCACCTGTAGAGGTTTCTCCGATTGCTCGAATCGGAATACGAAACGAATCTCCGACCACAAGCGTCGACTGAACGGCACGTCGGGGTCCCGGGGGTGGCGCCAGGCGGCCCATATCATGTCGCAGCACGAGACCACTATCCCCAGCGCGGAACCCACTACTAATACTACGAACAAGCCCTGAAAGTTTGACATCTTTAGTTCCTCGCTCGATGGATCGTCCCCGACCTGCCGACAAAATATATTCAATATCAAGACTCGTTGCACGACGAATACCAGGCACTGGTGTAGTCTACGGCAATCGTGCTGCAACCGTATCCGCACACCTACGACGAATTAACATAAACAAATACTCAGCTTGTGATAAGATCAACTATATATATAGAGACTATATATATAGTAGAGTGGGTACATCAATATTACATATTGATTTCAATGCACCGCAGGCATCTTGCATCCTGAGAAATTATCGTAACAAGTACCTACTGACTTTGAGTTTATAACTCTACTATGACAGTAGAGTATTCACAGACAAGCCTAAAATTTTCTGGAAGTTTACTATGAACAATTTAGTAGACTTGTATTTGAGTAAATGTGTATAAGAGATGGTAATATGTACATTGCAAGCACCGCCGCCGTGCTTCTCGTTCCACCATTTGTATTTCATCTCGCGCAGCACTCCAGACTCCTGCAGATTCAGTAGCGCCAGGTTCAGCTGGTGTCGATACGGAGAGTCTGCGTATGGAAATTACAAATTTAAATTCAAAATATTTTTATTCATGTAGGTCTATTACAGACTCTTAAGATATGTTAAATCTACCGTCAGTTTGGAATGACTTCGAGATGTGAACAACTGTCAAGAAACTGAGGTTGTGTTCTTTTCAAATAAAGTTGTATCTGTATTATTATAAACAATAATACAGATTCATTTTTATTTTCAAATTTGGGAGAAACGAGTGACCACCAGCATATGCTATTGCAAAACTAAATAGTCTAATCAGTGTTCGTGATACACTCGTGGCCTTGTATACAGCGCCAGATGTCACGACGTAATATGAAGTACGACCAGACAGATCAGTAAGATAGAGTACGTCCAGGGAATGCACAAAATAATTTCATAACTAGGTATTGCGTTTGACTTATTTTTAACGAGAACAGGGAACTTTTATTTTGCGAAGAAAGAGTAGAGTGAGCGTAGAGAGTGCACTAAACTGGTGCCACATGCAAAAACTTGTAGTAGTTGGTGCACTAAGTTACTTAAAAAATACCCACTTTTTTTCATCGCGATGCCGTATCCCTTGCTGTCCAGCAGCGAGCCCACCTGCAACGTTTGATACAGTCAATTCACAGTACACCGACTGCAACAATCGGCTGTGTTGGTTCATCAGTCGCGTTTGTTTCAGCCGCCAAGCAAATTGCTTACTTTGATCAGGTAGCAAAATTTCGGAACAAGTGGCATGACATATTAGCAACTTATTGCGAATTACTACGTACGTGTCTCTATGGCAACATTCTTTTAATTGAATATAAATGATTTAATGCCTAACTCATAGTGTACTATTATTTGTACCATCGTAACTTCGCAGTTGCGCTGTATCGTATACTCGATTGAAGTAGACTCCATAAGGAATGCAAAGTCTTCATTCACCACCCTGTAAACATAGTTTCACTGTAATTTCAGGTCAGTAGACAATGGGTCAGCATCGTAATTGACTACAAAGATTTATTTACTTAAGCACATAACAATTACATGCCATTATTGTAAATAATCATAATCCAACGCGGTATATCGAGGCAGTGCTCCCAAGATACCGGCAGCGTTCCCTTTTTAAATGGACATGCTTATCTTCTGGGTGAAGGAGCTACCAGCTCTAGGGTTGCTGTATCTTCGATGAGCGGTGTCGTAATATTGGTCAGAAACATTTTGTCTTCTGGGCTCAATGGTTCGTTCTCAGATGTGAAGAGCTGAATAAGTGTACAGCGATTTAGTTCAAACTTGATTAAGACAGTGATTGTAACTAGGTTTAATCTGGTTAATATTTGATTATATACTCTATATGTGTATGTATAGTATTTGGTTAGTATGCGGTATAATAATTCCTCTTACTTCTGTATTCCAGAGTTGTTGTCTCCGGGCATGTCGTGTTCGCTCATGTGTTTAAACATTCTTTTGTAGAGCTCGTTTTGTGAATGCTGCAACATTACATAAACATTACTAAAACCATCACGTATCATTTTTACTGCAATACTTGTACAGAACACCGTGATAACCCGATTACAATATTGAGGTAACCCATTCATTTATTTCCATTTGGTAGAGTTTCATGTAGCTATATACAAAGTGATACTTTCCTGGAAGAACGTGTAGGTGGAGCCATTGATTTTAGCGCCGTAGGTGATGTCGAGTTCGTTGTCGGCGAGGTCCTGTACGTTGTGAATGAGTTCGTCGCTGCTCTTGTGCGCGAGCAGCGTGGCCAGGTTGGCCGTGTACGAGCTGGTGATGACCAGCGCGAACAGCCACCACGCGCTCGCCACTGCACGCGTGCCGTAAGCCCTGTGACATGTGTTGCTATGTGACCAATCATAATCAATCATTTCTTTATGTCTACGTAACCTATAATAAGGGAGAACATTTTACAAAATCTTCCACTAAGGTACTTCTGATTTAATTATTTCTATCGAGATCAGCTCGCGTTGCAGGCTGTTTCACTTTATACGTATACTAGAAAGTCTATGATTTTGAATATGAGCTATTTCAAATAATAAAAAAATCATTCGATAAAGACTATCTTTAGAAGTAAATATACAAACAGTCACTGTTTGTACTCACAGAGGAGCAATTTCGGAGCCCTGCAGCAGCATAGCTCCCAGATTGAACCAGAGCGCGTTCTCAAGCGTGAACTGGTTCTCGAGAGCCAGCGGCTCCTCGAGGCACGGGTACGGGTTCTGCCACTCCTCAGGACACAGTCGGCCCACCACATACAGCAGCAGCGATGTACCCAAATATGCAAAGCCCAGACAAATCCAAACCTGTAACCACAGCACAGCATGCTCCTAGATGTTCCTAGATAAAACTCAACATACGTTTGGAACATATTGTAATTAATCCACAAATGATAACAATTTGTTGTTTCTTATCTATTTCGCATTTATAGAGCTTGAATAATATTATATATACATGGACAATTTAATAATACATAAATGAATATCAGAAGACATAACAAACACTAACTAACTCAGACGCACCTCCTTAGAGAACGGCAAAAGAAATGCGAATAATTCCGGCTCTGGAGTCTTAGGTTTTCGGAATAAAATGCTGATGCCGAGGTTCATGAATGGCGTTGAAAAGTCAACTGCCTTCTCGCGTTCCGCCGTGATGGTCAAGTCTGTGATTGCAAAGTCGATTTTCTGTAAATAACATACACAGTGATTGGCTTCAGTTTCAGGAGGTGGGTGGCAGGAGACGGCGGACGTGTAGTGGCGGGTATGACTCACCGGATCGCGCATGAGCTGTCCCAGCATGCCGTCCCACTCGCCGGACACGTTGGTCGGGGAGCCGTACTTGCCGTCCGGCTGTTCCACCAGCGTATACGTGAAATTCAACAGCTCTGATAGCTTACTGATCAATTCCACGCAGAAACCTGAACACGTTTTTACTATTACATTATCTTCAATATCAACATAACTTGACTAAAATATTATCAAAGAGATGTAGGGAATACAAAATGTATGGTTCGTTACAATGTTACTATTCGATTAACCCATTTTTATTTTTCTATTTGTCCAGTGTATAAACCACAGCTATATAACATTAATGTAACAAATATAGACTTATAATAACACATATACAAATGTAGTGTAAATGATTTTATTTTTGTTGTTAAATTTAGGGACTTTTGTACCATCTACATACCAGTCCCATTGTATCCTAAAACTAATCACTGCATTATCTCACCAGTGATCAAATTGCCTTGGCCGCACCGTCCGAAGGATCGGCTAGAACACCGACGCCGGCATCTAATATATTCATTCCATCGTCTGACGTCATTCTATGTCGTAGACTCTGGTTCCTGACACACTCCATCAGCATCAGCAAATGATATATGATAAAATACTTAAAAATGATTATATTGTTGTAAGTACTTTTTCACAATACACAACAGACGTAACCAGGTTTACCTATCACTGCCATTAGCCATACTAACTACTTCTAATAATGTTTTAAATTACATCTACCTTCATAACGATCGTTTCCGGATAGTCTTTGGGACGACTCCTGTCTCATCACATAGGGCTGATTCTGTAAAAGAACTTTTTTAAATTGCTTAACATATGAAATTGGCGTTTTGTAAGAGAGTAACCTAAAGTCGATTTTTTCAAAATTAATATATTTATTTAACAAAATATGTACCATTGCTATTTATACACTTTTGCCATTTCATAGGTAGTTCATTGATACCTTTACTAAAAAAACCATTCGAACGGGAATCAATAAAATCTTTGAAGGCGCTTTGGACTGCCCCATCGGAGTTGAATTTCCCTCTTCCCTTGCAGGCAGTTATTGTATATTAATTAAAGTATATAGGTAGATGGAGTGTGCTCTCTGTGGAGTCGTACCGGCGCGATGAGGATGGTGAAGGTGCGATTGGCGATGGAGATCTGCGAGGGGGGCGGCTCGAGGGGCCCCGCGGGGCGCTGCCAGGCGAGCCCGGTCCCCGGCGACCACAGCGCGGCGCCCTGCAGCCGCCCGCCGCGCTGCAGCTCCGCCACGCGCACCTGCACCTCGCGCCGCCCGCCGTCGCTCTCCCACGACGCGCCGCCGCCGCTCAAGCTCATAGCGCCGCTCCACTCCTCCTGTGTGCACACGCCACCGCCACGTCTATGGACTATAGATCATTTCAGTACATGCACAGTAAACCCTGCTTCGCTTAACGAATCATTCTTAACACGCATTTCGCAGGATGTCTCGAATACGAAAACGGGACTCTAATATAAAACGGAGCCAAAAGTTATGACATAGAAGGCACGGTACGAGGCATCCTAATTCCTAATATATATTAAACTTACGGAGCGCAGGTAATTTAGAAGTGTGTCGGCATGGAAGGAGCCGACGCCGCGATCGCAGGCGCCCTCCCCGAACGTCTGCAGCTGGAGGTAGTCGAGCGCGGCGGTGACGAGGCGGGCGGCGTCGTAAGCCAGCAGCAGCGCGGAGGGTGGCGCCGACATCACCTCCTGCAGCTGCTCCTGGGGCACGTCGCCGCCCAGTCGAGTCACGTACGCGTCGCGCCATCTCTCCATCACTGTCACCACCTCAGACGACTCCAGGTCGAATAACTGCAAAGCTGCATTCAATGATTCGATTACTTTATGGTATACATTTATTGCCATCTGTTTATTACAGTTGTTCATGCACGGGATTAACATTTGAAGATTTTAATTTAAACTCGTATAATTGTGTAGTGTGGTGCACTGACTGGTGATGTTGGCCCCGCCGTGGCTGTAGTTGGCCAGCGGCTGCGTGTGCAGGTCCACGGTGAGCACGATGTACGAGTGCCGCTCGGACAACAGCCCCACGCGCTGCGCCGCGTCCAGCACCAGCCGCGCGCGCTCCGCCTCCTCGCACCACACTATGAAATTCGTACTCCCCGACTTCTTCAGCAGCAACAGCAAGTTCCTGCCGCAAGCACATTATCGTCATATTCGACAACAACCGCCATGTTTGGTTGTGTCCATTCGTCTTCCATTGTGTCACTTCATCTATATTGACGACGTAGGTATCACCTGAGCAGCGCGTCGTCACCGCGCGGGGGCAGCTGGCGCGGGATCAGCGTGAGGTGCTCCGCGTCGGGCGCGATCATAGCCGCGCTGTGAGCACTCCCCTCGTACAGCAGCACCGCCTGCTGCCACGACTTCTCCGCGCAGAGGTCCCGGCATATCTGTCTGGCGAACAAACGGCACAAATATTACACGCTGTACTAATATTATTTTCTAGAGACATAGCTATACATGTTTAAAAGTAAGTTCTCAATGAGTGTCGTAACATTAAAGTTACCAGATAGTTATGGCATAAGAAAGAATAGCGAGCACCTGCGCGAATATATCTTGGTGCGGGTGCAGCGCTAGCGCCTCCCAGGCGTGGTAGAGGGGCGCGGGCGAGAGCAGCAGCAGCGGCTGCCCCGCGCGCGCCGCGCCCTCCCCCGCCAGCCGCGCGGCGCCACCCCGCGCCCCGCTCACCACCGCCACCCCGCCCTGCGCCGCCTGCACACACACGCGGTATATATATAAGTAGGCCTGGCAACTTTTTTATAAGAGAGAAATAAGAAATAAAATATATTCAAGTCTGTGAAGAATATTAAAAAGTATTTTAGAAAAATGAACAAAACTCTTTCAGTGAATGCTGATACAGTTTAAAACAGTATAGTTGGCAACCGTAGTGGTAAGAGTAGCCTCCCGTGCGTCGGTCGAGTCATATAACAATATGATGACACGTCAAGTTACAGTGAATGAACGCAGGCGCAGAATATATTTGCAATTGCAAGTCTCAATATCTGTACTCAATGGGATTTTTATAAAATAATCTTATTGCCAGAAATTGATATTTGAAAACAATATAAAATGTACCTGTGCGCAGACTTGTGCGGGCAGCGCGAGCGGCTCGTCGGGCTCGACGGGCGCGACCCCGGCCTCGGGAGCCCGGGGAGCCCCGGGAGCCCCGGGAGCCCCGGGGGCGTTGCGCGCCGCGTCCACCGCCGCCGCCAGCTGCTGCGCGAGCTGCGGGTCCGCCTCCACCACACCTGCAACCACCACCACAACACGTCACCTCACAACGTGCCATCACACCCACCAGACTACTTATATGTGTATATATATATATATTATACTAGCTGTCCCGGCAAACGTTGTTTTGCCATATAAATTAAAATCGCTATTAAAAAATAGGGGTTGATGCTAGAAGTGTGAAAATTTAGGGTAGTATATATTTTTCAATCATAAATAATAATAAAATGAAAATAAAATATTATGTCGAAAAAATAAAAAACAAATATTTAGGGGTGGATATTCATTACCACTTAGGGGTATGAAAAATAGGTAGTAGCCGATGCTCAGAGAAAATTTCATAAAAATCGATCAAGCCCATAGATAACATATATATTGTAATAGATTGTAATGGAATGGTGCTACGGTCTGCGCTAACGGTTTACGCTGACGGGACCCCAGTGGAGACTGATAACATGAACTTAAGGCAGGGTCAGGTGGCCCCTCGTGACTAATTTAATAGGAATCAATCACGATGGTGACCCGGCGGACCCGGGGGGAGGTCAACGTTACATGTTACATTGCTGGCTCATCTGAATAGGCTGCGCTCATCATCCATACCACTGCTGATCTCCTTCCGCCTATCTGCCGCCTGTATATTTTGTTTAGTAATTACTGTGATATGTATTTATCTTCATTTATCGTTTGCCACATTCATACAGCCACGGTGCCGGTGGTTTAACAGTTTAATTACTGCCTGTGTTAGGATTCGAGTCCTCGCGCGGTACAAATATATATCATGAGTATGATTGTTTGTAGCGATGTGGGTGTTATATATGTATATTTAGTGTGTATTGTTTTATTTTTAAATTATCTAATAATATATATCAGTTGTCTAGTACCTGTAACAAGGTCTGCATAGCTTGCGACCAGATAACTCTATGTAAGTTGACAAAAGACTAAAGAAAAGAGAAAATGCTAATGTATGAATAAATAGTACTAAACAAGTCACCAGCAGCCGTCGTTGATGTTTTGTTTACACGTCAGCGACTCCGAGATTATAGGCAGATAGATAAAAAAACACGTTTCAATTCTTTCAGCTCCTTTTACGTGAAACCTTAACGTACTAACTAACAGGCAAACAAACAGATTTTGTTACGTTATGATGTTACAATATGGTCCAGAAGATATCTTTATTCATGTAGATCTATTACAAACTCTTATGATATATCGTGAAATGTATAAAAATGTATAAAAGAGACATCTGGTATTTTAAAATGCTAACGTTTTGGACTCTCTCTTTTCTCGAACTTTCAATTCTAAGCATTATACAAACGCGTGCAGCGTATTTACCTACTAGCTATACGTGAAGTCAACTGTACTATATTATATTATACTCTCTATAATTGATGTCGTTCGCTTCACTCCAACCGGTTCAGATGGTTTTTCTATTTTCAGCCCAAATACACACATCTGGAGCATCACGTCCACAATACACGTCCATCTACTCGTGTGCACTATTTACTTACCATATATATATACATATACATATATATCTACGGGAGTCGGCCACTGGCATATTGGTTATATAAATATAATTGTTATATTGCGGCGAGTGTAAGTACTAAGATATGTAATTTTAATTATAAATTTGTATTTAAATTTATTTGTTTTATACTTCATTATGTTATGTCGATAGTTTTACCCGACACATATCTCCGTATACCTAATCTATACACAAATAAAATAAAACTACAACACTAACCAATTCGTATGTCTATGTCTGCGCGCGAGTCCGCGCCGCACAACAACACGCCCACCACCAACAAACAGCGGCGGAGCGACATCGCGACGCACGCTCGCCACGTGGCCGGCGCTGCGTCCGCGCTCACACTGCCCACCACCACGACGACGGCGACGACGGCGACGGCGACGACGGCGACGACGGCGACGGTCACGCCGCGCTCCTGTGACCCGCTTCACGATCTATTCTTGACCCGCCGCGCCGCTGCGGCTGCGTCACACGCTCACACCTAGGGTTGTCACATAACCGGGAATTCCGGGATTGTGCTGGAATTTGCGTCTTGTCCCGTGTCCAGTAGACTTTTTTGTCCCGAATTCTGAAGTTTTTTTTATTTCAAATTGGTACGCGAATTAAGTTTGAGTATTTAGGCACTTGCTTATAATGTTTTTATACATTCATTATCGCAATATGAGTGCATTGTTATACATTCTAATTAATTTTCAATTTTGTTATACCTATCTAATGAAAGTATGTATTTGACAATATATGGTATTTTCTTTTTCAAATACATTTTATTTTGTAAATGCTTTCAAAATAAAAAAAACAAGATACTATTTTCTATGGCCACGTATTCTATGGTCCCGGATTTGATAAGTTTCTATCTGGCAACCCTACTCACAGCACACGCCACTAAATTCAATGTTTGTTTACGACCACCAGCCAACTATTTAGGTTGTCGTGCTTTGTGTAGTCTACGGATCTACGGACATCTACCAAATATCTACCCTCATAGGTGCATACAAATTACGACTGTCATTACTCATTTTGTACTCATTACACAGACAATGACGGTCACGTGTTTATATGAACGGTGAGACGGTTTTAAAGCATATCGTATGTTGATGGCAGGCGGGGCAGCATGTGTCGGTGATGCAGCAGTACTATGAGCACGGTGTCGGCGGCGTCCGGGTCCGGGTCCGGGTCCGGGTCCGAGCCCGCGTCCCGCCCGTCCCCGGCGGCCTGCAGCCGGGTCACGCGCGCACACGCTCCCCGCGTCTCACACTCGCCACCCTCCGCACACGTGACCCCGACTGGTGTATCCGTCTGAGAAGCAGCTTCGCAGCAACCTACAATATTGTTCAATAGAAATAGAAATAGAAATAATCTTTATTCAAATAAACTCATTACAAGCACTTTTGAATAGTCATATTTTGATTCCACCACTCATTCGGAATGCAGATTCATCACAAGAAGAATGAGCAAGAAACTTGTGTGTTGCTCTTTTTAATAGACGTTTTTTTATATAAATAATTACAGTGTAACAAGTAAGAGGTATGCGATTATCAACATAGAAATCGCTACGCACTCATTATTAGTGTAATCAGATAATATTGTCAGTGCTATGTATAGATTTAAAGTTTTTCTATAAAAACATTATTATCGTTAACGAATTCTTCAATTTTATAGTAAGCTTGCAAAGGAAGTATTTTATTTGACATTTAAATCTTTTTTCAGGCAGATTTATAACATACTCTGGTATTTTATTGTAAAACCTTACGCAATTGCCATAAAACGAATTACTAACTTTAGCCAAACGTAAGCTTTTATTGGTGCAATCATTAACTCTTTTGAACCTGTCTATATTCTTCCTGGCATACATGATATTTTCATAAATATATTGAGAAGTAACGGTGAGGATATTTGATTCCTTAAAGCACTCTCGTAAAGACTCCCTGGAACCCGTACTATAAATGGAGTTCAGTTTCTGTTTATTTTGATTGAAATGAAAATTAAAATGAAATCATTCGTCATACTCGAGAACGGGTGCTGCTTGTGGGGATTGGTCTGCTCGGGCTGATTAGACTATTTGCTTTAGCAATAGCATATGCTGGTGGTCACTCTATTCTCACAAATTTGAATTTAAATGAATTTGTATTCAAATTCAAAAATCATTCATGTAGGACATTTTATCCGCTTATGAACGTCATTGTACAATAGTATTATTGTAACATCTACAACATTCATTTGAAAACACAAGTACACTATACTACAAGAGTGCAATTTATAATTCACTGTTTACTTTGATGAATTTTCATTCTGTTTCGATTCGGTTTAATCGTCCCTATTACGAGTATTAGTCGTATTACGTATTACGAGACCGTTGTATATTAACTTTACAATCGTAAAACATGGAAGTACAAGTGCACCCAATTAATAACTTCATTAATTATGTATTTCAGTTCTGCTTCTGTATTAGCTGCAGTTAGAAAGCCATTCACATAAAAAATATTTGTGATTGTATTGGCAATTAATGGATCCGAGCTTTCCTTCGATAGCTCCACTAAACATGTTTAAATATGGCGCTGAAGCCGAACCGTGCCGTACGTTTGTATTGGCATACATTCGTCGCCTCGCCAAATCTCCACAAGTACATTACAATGTCTGATCTCATGACGTTCTAATTTATTTTAAAATGTACCTGTTTTATGAATCTCGACGGGGTTTCGTGTTTCCTTTCCGGGTCTATATTTTCCAAGGTGACATCGTATGGACGTGGCTGTCAGGAAGTATGCTCTGGTGTTGCGCGCCGGCCGGCACACGCACACCCACACCCTGGGGCCCAGCGAGAGCGCCACGCACGCGCCCGCCGACAGCGACACGCAGCCGCACAGCGTGCTCGTGCGCGCCGCCGTGGCCGCGTACAGCGGGAAGAACGCCACCCACGTCACGCACGTGGCGTACGCGGCCGCGCCCACGAACCGCGTCTCGTTGAAGTTGTGGGGCAGCCGGCGCGTGCGCACCGCCGCCGCCACGCACGCCGCCAGCAGCACCAGCGCCGGCGCCAGCGGCGGCAGCTGCGCCGCGGCCAGCTCGCCGCCGCACGTGAGCACGGCCCGCGCGCGCCCCGGGTGCACCAGCCGGGTCGTCGGCGGCCACCGTACCGCGCTCCACGCAGCCGTAGCGATCCCGGGCGCGCTCAGGCCCAGCCAGGTCCATACCTGTGCGCGCGACGACAGCAAGCGGGGACGCATCGTCGGCCGCTTCTCCACAGCCGTCACGAGGCGTGCGATCCGCAGAGTGCGCGCCAGGATCGCGGCGTACACCCCGGCGAGGGCGGGCGCGGCCAGCCGCACTAGTGCACAGGGCACCGTCGCGGGGCGCAGCGCGGCCGCCAGCGCGGCGCTGTGGCAGACCGCCGCCGAGCACAGCAGCAGGGCGCACAGCTCCCGCGACGCCGACTTCACGACGGGCGTAGCGCGGTGACGCCACAACGTGGCGCCGCTCACCACCACCGCGGCCAGCCCTACACCACCGGCCGCCATGGCTACGATCCGCGCCCAGTGACCGTCCGTACCCCACTCCACTGCCGAGGGCAGGCATCCTTAAAATAGTATAGTAATCATATTTATTAACTAGCTATACCCACGACTTCGTTCGCGTGGAATATAACTTTATTTTTTTTTAAATAAAAGTAGCCTAAGTTACTCCTTGCTACATCAGTTACCCGTCTAAAAAAATCTCGTCAAAATCGGTCCAGTCATTTCAAAGATTACCCCGAACAGACTGACAGACCAAAATTGTAAAAAAAAAATTTTGGTGTGTGTACTGTATTTATATTCATCTGTTTATCACCGATGTGTTGTTAGTTGCATATTTCAACCTACTATGTAGTCTGTACAGGACGCTCTGCTCTACTCTCGCTTCGGTAGGAAGGTTACAGAAAACTTTAGAGGGTACCAAAACATAGTGTTCAGAGTAACCCCACATTTTGGCATCTTTTTCTGACGAGAGGTAGGTACTATTATCGCGAGTTGTGGTCGCCAAGGGTGACAGAAGCTATTGCTCTGAGTAAGTGACTAGACTGGACGTGCGGCGGGCGGCAGGGCGGTGGTATGTGGTAGTACGCACGCAGGCGGCGCAGGTCGGGCCTGTGTCCGGGCGCACAGAGGCGGCAGCCGGCGGCGGGCGGCGCGGCGGTGACAGCGAGCGGCGCGCACGTGACGCACGCCCAGCAGCAGCGCGCGCGGCCCTGCCCCACGCGCGCCCACTGCCCCACGCCGCACGCCGCCGAGCACGCCGCCCGCACGCCCACACCGCGCCTGTACAGTGTACAGTGTACAGGGTACAGGGTACAGGGTACAGGGTACACACACCGAACCAAACTCTACACTGTACCATGTACAGTACCATGCTAGTAGTACGCCACGCGCCAGTACAGACACTCCCTTGGATACTCTACTTCAACTTCAAGTTACTTGAATCATTGTTACTAGTAGTATGTTGAAAGCATTGAATTGTGCACAAGTACAGCTTCATTGTGTACTGTATTTAAATATTTAAATAAATAAAATGCTAAATTGCGCTTCACATTTAATTAGGCCGTTCCCGCCATTTTTACAATCAGGCTCTGTCAACTGCACAGAGTACGTTATGAACAATATTAATTATGCCAAAGACTATATATACTACAATCCCTCCCCCAATTATTTTAAAAATTATACAAATTTTATATTTTACACAAATTACATTTTAAAACTAATACTTATAATTAACTTTTTTGTTTCTCGTGGATCTTATTGGATTACGGCCTCTATTTATAACATTGGGCACTGCTTCTGTAACTAACATATCGTCAGCTCGAGTATCCTCCGCTATTTTCGTTATAGTGGTTGAATCTGATAGACCAGATATTCCTTCTCCTGGGTCTATATCTATGAGCGGTGATGTTATTGTTCCCATGATTCCTTCATTGGCTACTTTTGTAGAACTCTCTTCTGGTATGAATGATTCAACATGTGATGCTTGCGATGGATGTGTGATATGTGACGGTTTTGATGACTGTGGATTGCAGATATTTGGATCTGTTATTATCTCCTCCGGAACTACTGATTGATATACTGTCTCTGGAACTGTCTCCTCGTTTCCATTTCTGTTTGTTCCTTCTGTACTAGAGTATTCTCCATTTAAACTAACCTCGTCTGAACTTTGACGTGAAATTGGCCCTTTGTATGACAATAACTGATCCACATGTTTTCTTACATAACAATTTAAATCATGCACAAAAATAACATACATCCTAGAACCGATTTTTCGTTGTACAGTTCCCAATTTCCAAATATATTTCATACCATTTTTAAATACATGTTTCACCAATACCTTACTTCCTATCGAAAAATCTGTTCTGCGATGTCCCCCATACTGCTTACTCTGTGAGATCTGTTTAACAAAAACATTATTTTGAGCTGTGGATGCTAACGACACTACTGGAGTATTTTCAGGTAGAATAACACGTAATAAGTCAAACCGACAGCGCAGTGGCCGCCCTAATAATAATTTAGCAGGTGAAAATCCGGTGGTACAGTGTGTTGAATTGCGATAATTGAACAAAAAATTGTTTAATTTTTTTACAATATCTCTTACATGCGTATTTTCTTTTAATATATTCCGTACTGCCCTTTTTATTGTTTTTACGCTATTTTCAGCCTGACCATTAGACTCTGGGTGGTATGGTGATATTGTAATATGTTTTATACCATTCAAGTCACAAAAATCTTTGAACTGACTAGAACAAAAATTCATTGCATTGTCTGTCACTAACGTATGAACTAATCCGAACCTGCTAAACATCTCATCTAATTTATTTATAACTGACAAAGTGTCAGTTCCCGACATCAAAAAACACTCAATCCATTTTGAATGGGCATCGACAGCTACCAAAAATTGGTACTTATCAATTGAAAACATGTCCAAGTGAATACGTTTCCAAGGTTCTGTCGGAAATGACCACTGTGCGAGAGGCGAACGGGGAGGTGAACTACGAAAAGAGTTGCATAAGCTGCACGAACCTATTTTCTCTTCAATGTGTCTGTCAATATTAGGCCACCAAAATCTAGCCCTCGCCTAAGTTTTCGTTCGAACTACACCGAAATGTGAACTATGCAATTCATTTAATATGCGCTCTCTAAACTTATGCGGTATTACTACTTTGTGACCTCGTAAAATACACTTATTTTCAAACGATAATTCAAAACGACACATAAAGTATTTTAACATCCATGTCCGACATCTTAGGAGGCCAACCCGTATTAATATAATAAGCTACTTTCTTTAAAATTTCATCTAATCCCGTTTCCTTTTTTATATCCTCTACTGTTATTGGTTTTAAAATAGAATCGTCAATAAAGTTTATATAAGTCGTACGATCAATATCAAAATCATCTTCACTGTCGAGCAAACCTACGGAACTTACACTACGCGATAAAAAATCTGCTACATTATTATCGCCCTTGATGTATTCAATTTTAAAATTATATGCTGATAAAAATAAAGCATAACGCTGCAGTCTATTAGCTGCCATCTCTGGTATTCCTTTTTTATTACCAAAGATTGATAATAAAGGCTTGTGGTCTGTACGCAAAATAAAAGGTACAGATCTTCCATATAAATAATGATGGAATTTTTTAATTGCAAATACAATGGAAGTAGCTTCTTTTTGTATTTGTGCATAATTACGTTCCGTTTTAGACAAGGACCGAGACGCGTAGGCCACCACCCGCTCGGTGCCGTCGGGTTGTCTCTGCGCCAGCACTGCTCCTAGACCTAGCGGCCCGGCGTCCGCTGTCACTATGGTCTCGTACTCTGGACTGCAATGAGCTAATACCCGATCCTATGACAATTCTAATTTTATTTTATTAAAAGCAGAATTCTGCTCCTCTCCCCAATTCCATTTTGTGTCTTTTTTTAATAATGCATGTAAGGAGCTCAACACACTAGACGTATTAGGAACAAAACATCTATAATAGTTCACCATCCCTAAAAATGATTTGAGCTCTGTAACATTCTTCGGACAACTACAATTTAAAATAGCCTTCACCTTACTTTCAGCTTTATGTAAACCATTACGATCTATACGAAAACCTAAGTATTCTACGCTATCCTTAAATAGTTCACATTTTTCTCGTTTTAACCGTAGACCTGCTTCCTGTAATCTTCCTAAAACCTGTTCCAACCTTTCGAGATGTTGTTCCTTAGTACATCCTGTGACTAAAATATCATCTAAAAATATACATGTACCCTCTATATCTGCCAGTAACTGTTCCATTGTCCGCTGGAAGATAAAAGGTGCGTTAGACAAACCAAACACTAACCTATTATATACAAATAAACCTTTGTGGGTGTTAATACATGTTAAATATTTAGAATCATCTAATTCTAGCTGATTATAGGCCCTACACAAATCTAATTTAGAAAATTGCAACCCTCCATGTAGTTTTGCAAATAAATCTTCAATGCGTGGCAATGGATAGTTTTCCATCAGTAATGCTTTGTTCAGCGTTACCGAAAAATCACCACAAATCCTTATACCGCCATCTGACCGTAACACAGGAACGATGGGTGTGGCAAATTCGGAATGTTCTACTTTTTCTAAAATACCTAAATTCGACAATCGTTGCAACTCGTTTTCTACTTTTTGTTTTAATGCCAAAGGTACCGGACGAGCCTTAAAAAACTTTAAATGTACGTCGGGTTTTATTTTAATATTAATCTTATATTTATTAAATGTACCTAATTCATTTTTAAATAGCGTTTCGTACTTTTGCATCAAAAATATATCAACATCTTTTTCTAAATAGTTACAATTGTGTAATTGACTACACAACTTTAAATTAAATATGCTTATAAAATCCCGACCTAACAATGTTGGTTGATTTCCGTCCGTAGCAATAATAAATAATTTAATCAACTTAGTACACCTCTCAAAAGTGATCGGCAGAGATACGTATCCCAACGGCGATATTTTACTTCCATTATAGCAATTCAACACCACATTACACGACTTAAGGTTATATTTACTTTTAAAACACAACTCGTATATGTGAGCCGGCAGGACTGACACCGCGCTGCCGCTATCTATCTCGCATAGAACGTCGCTATGGCCTATAGACACCACCTGGCGCATCGGTTTTCCGTCCACACACTCTATACTAAGTAAATTAAAATTACCTTCAACCATGTCGTCGTGATCATCCACAGCCAAGTATTTACAATTTTTAACCTTAGATTTACACATTCGTTGTAAATGACCTTTGTTATTACACTTTCGACATATGAACTCAGCATAACGACACTTTTCTTTTGTATGGTTTTTATACCCACACACTTCACAAACCACATTTTGATTAACACTATGACGAGCAGTTAAATGTAACCGGCGAAGCTCCGCCGCCGCCGCCGCTTCGGTGCGGGCGGTGCGCAGCGCGTAAATCGGCTCCTCCTGGAGCTGAGGCCGCCGCGAGCCAGCCGCGCCGTCCGCGCTCTCTTCTGTCTGCGACGCTTGCAATGCGATCCGGGCACACCGTACATTCTGCGCTATTTCTAACGCCCTATTAAACGTTAGCGTATCAATGGATTCTGCAAATAATTTCTCTTTCTCTCTTGCGTTTTCCAATCCCAGTACAAAACGATCTCTCAAAGCGGTCTCCAGCTCTGTTTTAAATCCACAATACTGCGCTAAATGTCGCACTCGTGCCGCCCATTCAGCCAAATCTTCTCCTAACCGTTGTTCTGCCTTATAAAATTGATAACGTTCTGCAAATGTACTCTTTCTTGAAGAAAAATGAGTATCTAATTTCTCCAAGAGATATTTATATTCTTCACTTTCTAATGGCGTAGGAAAAATGATATCCCGCGCTACGCGGTATGTGTCTTCCACCAAAGCCGTTAATAATAATGCTCGCCGTTTTATTCCACTTTTATCATTCTCTTCATTAATATCATTTGCGGTGCAGTACTGAATAAATCGACTTTTGAATATGCTCCATTCCTGAGAGCGGTGGTCAAAGGTGAGGCTACCGCCGAACATTATGTTTCCGTAACCAGCCATTACATACATTAACAATACAATTTTATTAATGCAGACTTAATTACACACGTGAATTATTACTCGTCGCCAATTTGTACTGTATTTAAATATTTAAATAAATAAAATGCTAAATTGCGCTTCACATTTAATTAGGCCGTTCCCGCCATTTTTACAAAACAGGCTCTGTCAACTGCACAGAGTACGTTATGAACAATATTAATTATGCCAAAGAGAAAAAAAAAGCGCGGGAACGCTTGAAAGGAAGCGCGCTATTATAAAAATTTTATTTTATTTTATTTGGTTTATTCAATTGTATATCGTATATATTGTGGTTAAAATAAAATAAATAACCCACAACATGGGGAAGAGTAGAAGAAAGCGTAAAAAGCCTGTATCTCCAGATGATCCAGATAGTGACTGCAAATCTTCAACTTCATCCGAATCTGACGAAGTGGAATTAGATCAGAAAGAACTGTATAAAACTTATTTTGTCACGGATTATCATAGACGTTATCCAGAGGATTCCGGTGCAACTGAATTCGTTGTATTCGTTGAGTCTAGTGACCCTAAAACTATAATAGGCTCTAGAGACCTTCTATCTCTTTCATCTTGTTTAAAAAGGTTTAATAAAGGAGTCAAGTATCTCAGAAGCTTAAATAAGTATAAAATAGGAGTATATTTTGAGAAACCTGGCCTTGCAAATGCTTTCCTAAATAATTTTACCTTTCTTAAAGAATACCAATTTAAAGCGAGTATACCAGCTGGATCCACAGAAGTTACAGGAGTCATTAGGAATGTCCCATTAAACCTATCCAATAAGAAGATATATACCATGATATCAAGTTATAAAAAAATTATATGTGTTCGGCGGTTTCTACGTAAAGTTAAAAATGATACTAACTTTTTTCTACAGCCAACTCAGACCATAGCAATCACTTTTGCAGCTTCAGTTCTTCCAGATTATGTGGACCTTGAAGGATGGCGACACGATATATCACCATACATCGCTCCTGTGAAGCAGTGCTTCCGTTGTTTGAGGTATGGACATCTAGCTAAATATTGTAAAAATGCAGAGACATGCTCCATATGCAAAGGAAGTCATAATTTTAAAATATGCGATACACCAGTAGAAAATGCCAAATGTTTCCATTGCGATGGTAATCATGTTAGTATTTCCTCCAAATGTCCAATCAAACAAAAAAAAATTATAGAAAACAGAAACAAAGCTCAAACATCTTCATATGCAGATGTATTTAAATCTTTCCCATCACTAGGTACTAGACAGAATAAATATAATAATGATTTGATTTCTTTTCTTAAAAATGATGATAAATCTCTTGGTCTCTTAGTAGAGTCCATAGTAAAATTGATTACATTAAATAAAACTCAAAATACTTCAATTTGCACAAAAAATTTATTAGACATTCTTACTGAAAATTTCAGTAACAAAAACATTAGCTCTCAAAATTCACCTTAAATAATTTAAATATAGCTCAGTGGAACGCTCAAAGTCTGCTGAGCAATCGACATTTACTCACACATTTTCTTTACAGTAATAACATACATATTGCACTTTTATGTGAAACTTGGCTTCGGCCACATCATAAATTAAAAATAAAGGGTTATAAAATAGAACGCAATGACTCAGGTAATTACCACAACGGTGTTGCTATTATCATACATGAAAACCTTCATTATAATAGAATTAATATGTTTTCTGACGATTCAATACAAACTTTAGTCATTCAGATCATTATAAACAATGAAAAAATATCATTAGCTACTATTTATTGCCCCACCAATTGTTCAGTACCTTTCACAAAATCTAAACTTGTTAACTTTGTAAATAATACTCCTAAGCCTTTTATAATTGCTGGTGATTTTAATGCACATCACACCATTTGGGGTTGTGATTCAATTAAACCCAGAGGTAGAGATATTTTAGAAACTTTAGATGAATGTAACCTAGTTTTATTAAACGATGGTCATGTCACTACTGTAGGTAGTCATATTTGGAAGCCAAATGGCTTGGATTTAACCATAGTTAGTCCTTCTTTATCCCTTTCATGTAACTGGTATGTTTACGAAGATCCGTTAGGTAGTTATCATTTGCCAACAATAACACAATTAAATTTACAATATTCCAATTTTTCTTGTAAAGGAGCAAATAATTGTGTATCAGTTCCAGTAAATCGGCGTAACTTGCGACTTGTAAACTGGGACAATTACAGTAAAATTGTTAATTCCAAATTACAAGGCTTTTCTGTCAATGAGAGCGATCCGTGTTCAACATATGACACTTTTTGTAATATTATTTTAAATTCTATTGATATTGTTCTAAATAAGAGTTCATCGGCACATCAAAAACAATACAATTGTAATTCTTCTAGCAATTCTAAACTATCAAAATATAAGCATCCTCCAGTACCATGGTGGAATGACACTTGTGCAACAGCTGTTCGTAAAAGTAAACAAGCATATATAGATTTTAAATATGATCCTACCACAGATAATTATATTAAGTTTAAAAGATTGCAAGCGGAAAAAAAACTTACTATTAAAACTGTGCGTTTACAAAGTTGGCATGAATACTGTTCTAATTTAAACAGAACCACTTCTATATCTAATGTTTGGACAAAAGTTCGAAAATTTAATAAGAAATATATAAATAAACCTCGCACTTACAACTCAGGTAACGATGATATGTGGTTAAATGAATTTTTACACAAATATACTCCAGATTACGTTGCGAGCCCTTTTACAACAGTTCCTAACAATTCTGATAAAGCTAAAGATATTTTCTTTGATAAACCTTTCAAATTAGCAGAGCTTCAATCAGCATTAAAATCAAGAAGGGACACAGCAGTTGGGTTGGATAATATTTCATACAAAATGTTGAAAGCATTAAATGGTAACAATTTAAATACCTTCTTAATTATTATAAATTTATTATGGTATAACTCTATAATTCCAAAAGAATGGAAAACAGATTATCTTATTCCTGTGTTAAAGCCTAATAAAAATTTATATGTTGCTGATTCTTATCGGCCCATTACATTAACATCGTGTATAGGAAAAGTTTTTGAACAATTGCTTAAACAAAGACTAGAGTTTTATTTCGAGTCTCAAAATCTATTGCCGTCGAATCAATTTGGATTCAGACGAGGATTTTCAGCTCGGGAAAGCTTAGGGCATTTTTATATCGATATTAAGAAAGCTTTAGAAAATAATCAACATTTGGTAGCAATTTTTCTGGATATAGTGGGTGCATTCAATAATGTAAATCCGAAGATTTTGGCAGATATCTTAATTTCTGTCGGAGTTTCAAATAAACTAGCAATATGGTTATATAATTTTATGAATGGTCGAAAATTATACGTTAAAGTTAGTAATGTTTCATGTATAGGTCCTCGCTTATCTCATGTAGGAGTATCACAAGGTGGTATACTCAGTCCTTTATTATATATTATTTATGTTCATAGAATTAATGATGCTTTAGGGCCTTATGTCCATAATCTCCAATTTGCTGACGACTTAGCTGTATATTGTTATGGTGACAATATTGTGGATACATTATCCAAAATCAATATTGCTCTTAGTAATCTTTCAGTATATTTTTCTTATGTAAATTTGGAAATCAGTCCTTCTAAAAGCAAAATGGTAGTGTTTAGTAATAACAATTTAAATATAGACTCATCTAGTCAGGTGAAATATATGAGCGCTATTATTCCAGTAGAGCCAGAAGCAAAATTTTTAGGTGTAATATTTCAAAATAATTTAAGTTTTAAAAAATATGTCGATTGTGTATCAGATAGAGCCATGATGTCCACTAATATTCTCAGATCTTTGGTCGGCACTACTTGGGGAGCAGACCCTAAAATTCTGTTAATTCTTTACAAGTCGCTGGTTCGAACGCATTTTGAATATGCGTTCTTCTGTTTTTGTAACAAAGAAAAATATGTTGATAAATTAGAAAAACTCCAAAATATAAATTTAAGATTAATTTTGGGAGCCATGAGCACATCACCAATAAATTCGTTGCAAGTTGAATGTAATATGCCCCCATTGCCGTTACGTTTTGAATTGCTAAAACTTATGTTTTTACTGAAACTTTATTCTGTTCATGATAACCAATTATTACATAAATTAAAAAATCCATCCTCTCCTAATAATTTCCTCTCTAATAATATAACTGAAATTATTAAAAGTCTACATAACTCCAACATATTTATTAATCAGAAATTAGTTCACAATAGCAATTCATATGATTGTAATTTTTTTAAAACCCCCATTTTTATAAATAAGAATTTACATAATAAATATGATGTCTATGATTACATATCTCAATGGAACAATTATAGGCATATGTATACGGATGGTGCTAAAAATAAAGACTGCACGGCTATTGCTGTTTATGATGCCAAGGAAAAAATATCATTCGGTACAAAAATATCGAATAAATCGAGCATATTTACTGCTGAAGCTTACGCTATTATCTCAGCGCTAGACTATATTGGTGAAACGAACAATAATGATAAATGGGTCATATTAACGGACAGCATGAGTGTCTTGTTGGCCCTTGCGAATGTTTCTTCTAGTAAAACATCTTTCGTTATACAAAATATTCAAAGGAAAATATATGATTTTAAAAAACGGCTTAATGTGGATATTAATCTTATCTGGACTCCAGCTCACGTTGATGTCACTGGCAACGAAAAAGCTGATGAACTGGCTAGGTTCATCACAAACTGTCAAATTCAAGGAAAAGAAAAAAAATACATGTTAATCCCAGCTTCAGATTTTATCGTTGAAATAAGAAAAACAATTAAAACTAAATGGAAACAACAGTGGGAAGAATCCATAAAAGTTAAAGGGAAATGGTTCAGAGAAATACAGCAAGAATTGAAAACGCCATGGTTCGTTCAAGGAAAATATGTGGAAAGAAAATTTTATTCAATTTTATGTCGTCTTAGAATTGGACATGGAAGATATAAAAAGCATTTGCATAGGATGAAAATGGTTTCGTCTCCTATATGTGATTATTGTTCTGCCGACGAAGATCAATCATTAGATCACTTGTTTTTTGAATGTCAACATTTCGCAATCCAGCGATTAATATTTATTGATAAATTGATCAATATATATGATAAAATGGAGATCCCGCGCTCCATCCAGAATTTATTAAAGAACACAGAAACATACAAACCCATTTTCGAGTACGTTATATCAACATTTCAAGATTTATAACTACTGAAGACAAGTATTAGAAAAAAAAAAAAAATATACGAAAATATTACTGAAGACAATGGCTGTATGGGCTGAGTCCTTTTGCCTTTCCCTAAAAAGGGAAAAACAGAACCAAAAAAAAAAAAAATTATGCCAAAGACTATATATACTACACATTGATTGTATGTATGTAGTATGTAGAGTTGTGATCACTATGGTACCTGAACGTGGCGGCGTGACCACCTCGCAGTGTGAGTCTCCCGCGGCGCCACCTGCCCACGCGCACGTACCGCCACCTCCCCGCGCCGCTGTCACCGTCACCGTCCCCGTGGCTCACCAAATTCATCACGTCGTACTCGCTCAAGCTGTATTCATTTATTTTTAGTTTACCTTCCTAACAATTCCTCGCAGACAACAGATTTTTTTCCGACTTTTATTTGTATTTTATGGAAATAATAATGTCACATTTTCATAAGTAAATCATATTCTAAAAACTAATGAATACTGTAAAATCTGCAGTTACTAAAATTAATGGTATACTTTTAGTGTATGGGGTGGCACTAATGATAATGCCCACTGTCTTTTTCCTGCTTCTCAGTAGCTATTAAATAAATATATTTACCTGGGAGGCGGGTCGCCATTGTCGTCGAATGCCACCAGACCTCCGTCAGGCGCCGTGAAGCGGACCTTCGCCAGGTGTTTCTTGTACTGCGACACATTGAAGGGCAGCATGGCGGCGCAGAGCCCACCAGTGCCCCCCGGCGGCGTCGCCCCGCATGCGGCGGCGCGCATCTCGTGCAGAGCGTGCGCCAGCGCATACACCCCGCGCACCACCAGCGCCAGCTTGGGCTCTTGAGTGTAACCGTGTAATGCCAACGACTCCCTACCTGCTTAAAATAAAATTATTGGACCAGCGGAGAGAAGCTTGTTGCGTCGGCTTATAACGACTTCAAGGACTTCAACATAAGTACTGAAGAGAAACATACTCGTACCTGTGCAACGTTGGACGTGAGCTGGGGGGCTCGTCGACAGCGAACAGTTGAATTTTTGTTCCCAAAACTCCTGCACAGATAATGTGACTGAGTAACGTTCCTCATTTGCTTTGAAAGTGATTACGGTGGGTAGGTATGAATTTGTGTACCTGGAACCAAGGGTTCCGAATGTTGTTATGAGGCGAGAGCTTGTGGTAGTACGCGTCAAAATCGACCAGATATGGGGAACGGATACGGAGCGTGAGCGCGTCGGCGGCGGCATGTTCCACGCCCCTCACCACGTCCTGGCGGTCAGCCCAGCCGTCGCTGCCCACCAGCCGCAGTCGCAGCCTGGGCCGGCGCCGGGACAACCCCTCGAGGAGGGCTCTTGCCGTCCTACCCTCGCACCAACACACGCACACCTGCAGTGAAGCGATGGCTGTTGTGTCGTCGCGTATAACGTAGTGCGTGAGCGGGGCCGGGCGGCGTGTACCTGCGTGGTGGTGGTGGCTGCGAGTCTGTGCAGCAGGGCGTCGACCTCGTGGGGCGCGGGCGCGGCCCGCAGCGGCTCCTCCCGCGCCACGCACACCGCCCCGCGCGCCGCCTCCTCGTGGAACGCCGCCATGCCGCTCTGACCGTAGCTCTCTGTCACCAACCAACACGCATTACAAGTCCACGCACAGTCGGCGCATCCATCGCGTTGTTATATGTATATGTGGCACGCACCGTCCGTATAGACCGCGTGCACGTAGGTCCAGTTGTGTGCGCGGAGCAGCGCCACCATGAGCCGCGCCTGATGCTGGTCGGATGGCACCACGCGGAAGAAGGTCGAGAAACGGGCGCGGTCCGACAGCTCGCGGGACGTCGCCGAGTATGAGATCTGTACACATATATGCATACTCGTATTACAAGCACATACTGTTTAGTAACTTACACAAGTATATATATATATACATTGTTGTACGAACGAATGTCAAAGCTTTCTTAACTAAAATGAATAAATAAATAAAAATTTAAATGTAACGGATAATATAGTATATATAAAAGCAGAGTAGTTAAGTGTCTACCTGCGGTATGGAGAATAATTGCAGTAGATTTTGTACTTGTACGGCGGCGGAGCTGGCGCCCGGCCCCAGCACGCCCAGCATCGGCGTGCGGTGGACGCCGGCAGTGTGCGCGGCCGGCCGAGTCACGTTGTCCACTACTACACTCGTCTCCTAACACGAGACACAGTTACACGCTATATGCGTTGTACCTCAGTAGCTATCGACAGCACACTTCTCATTTATAAGGCAATGTTTAAGCCAATCTGGACATATGGGATACAACTATGGAGCTCTGCCAGTGACTCCAACGTCATGACAATACAACGAGTTCAAAACTATATATTAAAACAGCTCTCGGATGCACCATGGTTTATAAAAACTATTGAGATCAACGAAATACTTGATATTCCCATGTTAAACATGTAATTAATGACTACAGCAACAAATACAAATCACGACTACACAGCCACCCGAATAAATTCGCTGCGCAACTTACAATACCTGAAAACTTGCGTCGATTAAAGAAAAGGCGTGATATATTTGACCAAGATAGTCAGACAGGACGGACATTTTAAAAGCGAGGAGCTGCTCTACTGAGAGCGGCACTCTACCTGCTATATACGGAACACCACATCTACTTATAGTCCATGTGACTGATTGCAAGACATCTAATACAATATATATATATATATTTGTTGTATCTACAGCTGGTAGGCACGATTATAATAATTTTGTACTGACGTTTTAGGCATATGTTCGACCCATTCTTTTCGACTTGTGTTTAATATAGGTCAGGCAGGTACACGGCCAGTCAAGCAGTCGTTCCGTATACATACTTTGTACTGCAGTTCTCGTTGGTTTGTTTAAATTATTATGTTATTATTGTGCGTGTGTGTGCTTGTTGTGGATGTTTAGTGTGTCAAGGAGCCGTGGTCCGTGGTGTAGGGTGCGGGCGTGGAGGGCCCGTGTGGTGATTGACAGAGAGTGCTCAGGGCGAGTGGCGACACGTTCCCCGCCCCGACTACAACACGTGCGCCCTCCACACAACCTCACTAACCTACATACTCACGTTTATCGACTAATCCTTACTTCCGTACTAATATTATAAATGCGAAAGTAATTCTGTCTGTCTGTCTGTCTGTCTCGCTGACGTCAAAACTACTAAACCGATTTAAATGAAATTTGGTACACAGACACCCTGAGAAAGGACATAGGCTACATTTTTAATGTGAAAAAGTGTTATACGTGAACGAGCGCTGCTTGTAGGGACCGTCTGCTCTTATCACTACGACTGATTTAATATTATTTGACCCTAATAAATTAGTGCTGGTTGGTAGTTTGTATTCACACGTCTCGACTTGTAAATGTAAACTTACTAGGATTATTTAAAAGAGCAACACGAGTGGCGAATGAGCGGCGGAAAAAAAATTGTTGACTATTCAAAAGTGCTTAAATTAAGTTTACTTGAATAAAGGATTTTCTATTATATTCTATTCTAAGAGGGTTGAAAGTAAAATGAAAGATTATATTCAAGTGTCGTCATTATCAAAGCTAGATGCCTGAAACTTATTCTTTAGGCTGTTGATTGAATTGTAATTATGTATCGTCATTTCTGAATCTTAAACGATGAACGGTTTTTTTTTTATTTTAATCGTCTTAAAAATAACAAAAGAGTTTAGATGTGAACCACCTGTATCACTGTAGGATATGAAAATTAGTTTACGCGTTATCATCATACCTACTGAGTATGTATACACATAACATTTAATAAAAGTTAGTCCGGCCGTTTCGGAGTTTTTTTTTTTAATTTTTTTTGTTGTTATTCAGTTTACAAACACTTCGAAACGAGTATTTTATATATTAGATAATAATATCCCGGAACAATCTGCATAGTGCCATTTAGTCCCAAGCTAAGCAGTTTGCGTTATGGGTACGAGCTAACAAAAAAGTTTTTTTTTGTTTTTACATTTATTACCAATACAAATAATCGTTCTAATGAATCGAAATGTTAGCGCCGTGCGACCATCACAAAGTATGGCGATGTGATAAACCACTACACTACAGAGGCCGCTATACTATATCCATACATATAAATCCAAAGCTCCAAATTAGAGTGTGTGTGTGTTTGTAATCATAAACAGACACTCTAATTTGGAACTCGAATAACCGTTTTTTACTAGATGCATATGAATAAATAAATAATTAAAAATAAATGCACCAAAATAACATTTTTTACAATTTTTGTCTGTTTGTTCCGGCTAATCTCTGAAACGGCTGGACCGATTTTGGCGCGACTTTTATTAGCAGGTGGCTTATAATAAGGTGTTACTTAGGCTACAATTAGTTTAGAAAAAATCTTTTCTTTTAGAAAATTAAATTCCAAGCAGACGAAATCGCGAGCACAGCTAGTTTTAAATACAACTAATTCTAAGTACTAATCACAGAACAGAGACGTAGGGCTCCAAATACTAAGGTGCGCGGACAGCGGCGCTGATTGTGTACCTGCGAGTACTACGCTCCCGACCTACCTGTGCACCGGTGCACCCCGCCGGTCGGACATAGTCCCTCGGGGGTACAGTGGTGCGAGGGTGCGGCGCCGCTATGGCGTCCCGCACCAGGTCGATGGTCTGTCGGAGGGCGGTGGGCGCCGCCCAGCACGAGTCCCGCAGCTCGGCCCCCAGCCGCAGGCCGGGCAGCAGCGCCGGGTCCGCGTTGATGGCGTCGAGCGCGCGCAGCGTCGCCTCCACGCGCTGGATGCCGTAGTGCTCGCGGACCGCGCCGCAGCTGGAGCCCGCGCGGGCCGCCGCCGGAGCCCCGTGCACCGCGAACAGCGCGCCCAGCCGCACCGCGCCGGCCACCACCACGCGCTCGTCGTTAGACCCGCCTCCCGCCACCACGGCCACCGCCACCGCCACCGCTACCATCGCCACCATCACAAGTGCGGCCACTTTAACACGCGCCATGCCGACTGTTACATATCGCGCCACGGAGAGCGCCGCCACGCGACTGCCGCAGCTGTACCCGCGTCGCGGCTACCTACTACAGTTAAGTGATAACTGTATCTGTCTCGCTTTCTCGCCAAACCTACTAAACCCCTTCCTCAGGTCTAGACTAGTGTTACCGACATATGCGGGTTGTAAGTGCTCGAAAGAGGACAGACTGTAGTAGTTTGTTGTATAACCTTATAAGTCTTATTACAAAAAATCTGTTAAAACTCGGATGTAACGTTGTAACTCAAATGGTCGAGGTTTAAACCATTGCTAATGTTAACACTTGGAATAAACCTAACATTATTATGAATCCAGATCTAACAGAGGACTACTCAGTACTAGTGTTAGTAGTTAGTATGTTGGTACACCCGTGTGGCTGCGCCCACCATCAAGCTGTCTTATAATAAAGTAGTGCGATACGAACCCGTGTACGTTTCACTTGTCTTCACTACGCATATCTAACAATTGCGACGAGGTACCCACATATTGGCGGAATAAAAAGCAAAATGGCGACAACGCACGGCAGTATACCAATAACTCTGTCTAAGTCGCGAAAAGAGACTATGAAAGATGCAATTTTGAATCGAGTATTAAAATATATACAAAATGGATGGCCAGCTAAAATGAATGATATACGTCTCAAACCGTTTCACCTTTGTAGATTACAATTATCGTTAGAAAATGAATGTATTATGAGAGGTCATAAGGTCGTCATTCCGGAGAGTTTATACACGATTATTTTAAATGAATTTAGGTTTAGGTTTAGGTTTAGGTTTAGGTTTAGGTTTAGGTTTAGGTTTAGGTTTAGGTTTAGGTTTAGGTTTAGGTTTAGGTTTAGGTTTAGGTTTAGGTTTAGGTTTAGGTTTAGGTTTAGGTTTAGGTTTAGGTTTAGGTTTAGGTTTAGGTTTAGGTTTAGGTTTAGGTTTAGGTTTAGGTTTAGGTTTAGGTTTAGGTTTAGGTTTAGGTTTAGGTTTAGGTTTAGGTTTAGGTTTAGGTTTAGGTTTAGGTTTAGGTTTAGGTTTAGGTTTAGGTTTAGGTTTAGGTTTAGGTTTAGGTTTAGGTTTAGGTTTAGGTTTAGGTTTAGGTTTAGGTTTAGGTTTAGGTTTAGGTTTAGGTTTAGGTTTAGGTTTAGGTTTAGGTTTAGGTTTAGGTTTAGGTTTAGGTTTAGGTTTAGGTTTAGGTTTAGGTTTAGGTTTAGGTTTAGGTTTAGGTTTAGGTTTAGGTTTAGGTTTAGGTTTAGGTTTAGGTTTAGGTTTAGGTTTAGGTTTAGGTTTAGGTTTAGGTTTAGGTTTAGGTTTAGGTTTAGGTTTAGGTTTAGGTTTAGGTTTAGGTTTAGGTTTAGGTTTAGGTTTAGGTTTAGGTTTAGGTTTAGGTTTAGGTTTAGGTTTAGGTTTAGGTTTAGGTTTAGGTTTAGGTTTAGGTTTAGGTTTAGGTTTAGGTTTAGGTTTAGGTTTAGGTTTAGGTTTAGGTTTAGGTTTAGGTTTAGGTTTAGGTTTAGGTTTAGGTTTAGGTTTAGGTTTAGGTTTAGGTTTAGGTTTAGGTTTAGGTTTAGGTTTAGGTTTAGGTTTAGGTTTAGGTTTAGGTTAGGTTAGGTTAGGTTAGGTTAGGTTAGGTTAGGTTGGGGCGTGGGTCGGGCAACCTCCTAGTATGGGCCTGCCATTGGGAGGCTTCCCCATCCTCGTGGATACGTCCGCGGGGAACGGTGGCCGAGCAATGGTTTGGTTCTGGTACGCCCCGGGCGGGATAGTAGTCGTTCCTTCGGGATACGGCTACTATGTCGGCCAGTAGCCCGGCAGGTTGGGCGGGTTTAGGATTCCTATGCCTCGACAAAAGTCGAGGATCCCGGAGTTAGGAACCCGCCCAACTTCTTGTTTTAGTCTTCTTTTTGTTCGTTTCTTCTTCTTTGTTTTGTTTGGGTTTTTACTTCTTTTATTGTTTTGTTTTAATTTATTTCGGTTTTTTAGTTTGTCTTTGGTTTTTATCTGTCTTTGTCTGTCTGTTTGTCTTTTCTGTCTTTTTGGTTTTGTTTCTTCGTTTTCTTTTTTTTCGTCGTTCGTGGCAGGAGGTCGGGACCACACCCGTAAAAAGGACAAAAATGAATGGCTGAACGTAAAAAAAGGATACCCCAGGGAGGTACCGGTCGCTCTGCGGCCGGAGAATCCTCCCCCACCGCACCGGGTTTGCCGGGGGTGGGCCGTCCCAAGTACTCTGGGGGGGACGCGGACAGCCGGAGGAAGGAGTGGGAGGATGAAGTTAGGAGGTGCGTTGAGGCCGTGAAAGGGATTGAGGAGTTTGAGATCCACGTGGCCGGCATGGACTCCGAGTGCACGGAGTCCGGATTGTCGGCTGCGTCGGAGGACTGCCTCAATTCCATGTCCGTAACATCTGAGGACTGCCTCAACGTAAGGGTGAGCACTTCGCCCAAACGTGTTCGGCGGAAGAGGCGCGTCGTCGAGAGGCCGCAAGACCTGGACTCCGACGACGACGTCGAGGTTGTAGAGGTGGCGAAACGGGTCCCGAGCCCGAAAGCCGAACTGGGGAAAGGGAAGAGCAAGCGTGCCACCCGAATGGAGACAGAGGGTTCGGCGTCTGACGCTGGGCCCTCCAGAGCCGTCTCCGCCCCAGTAACAGAGGTCCGTCGCGCTGATGAACTCGGCGCCACCATCGAGGATAGTGCCCGGAAGGTTCTTGCCGCGGTCAAAGTATCCGGCAACCTGAAGGGCACTATTATAAAGGAGATCAAGGACGCCATCGCCAACATCATGACGGCGTCCGAGATCCTAAAGGAGAGGTCGGCTGATGTCGAGGTGACTACCCTCAGCCGAGAGAATGCACGCCTGAGGAACGACTTGGCACATGCTAAGCTGATGTCCAGCGGAGCCATCGAAGAGGCGAAGGCCGACAAGCGGGAAATAAATGCCCTCCGCAAAACGGCACACTCTTCTGCCATTCTGGCCGAGGAGATTGCCCAACTCAAGGCAGAAAGGGAGGAGCTGCAGCGGGAGGCCCGGGAGAGCAAAAGGCTTCTTGAGGAGCTGAAGAAGACCAACGCTCAGACTCAGGCCTCTCTGCTGCAGGCGCAGCGCGATTTGGAGGAGGCGAGGACGGCCATCGAGCTCCCGCCAGTTACCATCGGGGGAACGGCGGCGGAAGCGCCGGAAGGTGCCACGCCCCTCACCCTATCGGAGACAGCCGAAGACCGGATTATCCGGCGAGTAGGCGAGATTATGGACGGCCGCTTCGCCGAGATGGAGCAACGGATCTCGGCGAAGCGCAAGCGGCAACCCAAAGCCGCCAAGAGCTCGCCTGCTGCCGGATCATCCGGCCCAGCGGCCAATAGGGCCCCGCAGAACGGGGAGCCCATCGGGGGTGGAGACCCACAACCGTCGACTTCAGCCAATCGGGAGGGCTGGTCGACGGTAGTCCGGCGAGGGAAGCGCAAGGGCGCTGGCGCTAGCCAGACGGCTCCTGCCAATGCGCGCCCGCCGAAGGGGCCACGCGGCGGCCCAACAGAGGCACCTCCGCAGCGGAAGGCACCCGCGCGGAAGAAGGTAAAAGCACGCCCCCCTCGCTCGTCGGCAGTGGTGTTAACCATGAGGCCGGGAGCTGAGGAGAGGGGCGTCACCTACAGGTCGGTGCTCACCGAAGCGAAAGCCAAGATATCCTTGGCCCAGCTCGGTATCACCGACCTGAGGTTCAAGGTAGGGAGAACCGGGTCCCGTATCCTGGAGATCCCCGGAACGCACACAGGCGAGGCGGCAGACGCGTTGGCCGCCAAAATCGAGGAGGTCCTGCCCGAGGACACCGTCCGGGTCTCCAGGCCAGTGAAGTCGGCCGAGCTGCGCATTGGAGATCTGGACGACTCGGTGATGGTGGCCGACGTGGTCGTCGCCGTGATGCGAGAGGGGGGTTGCCTGGAATCCTCGGTGAAAGCCGGGGAGATCCGGCGCAACACCCAGGGAACGGGATCCGTGTGGGTGCGGTGCCCTGTGGCCGCCGCAAGGAAGTTGGCCGAGGCCGGCCGGCTTAGGATAGGGTGGGTGATGGCGCGGGTGCAGTCGCTGGACCCGCGTCCTCAGCGGTGCTATCGCTGCCTCCTTACGGGACACGTGGGAGTGCGATGCACCGCTACGGAGGACAGCAGCGGAATTTGTTTCCGCTGCAGTGAGCCCGGCCATAAGGCCGCGCGCTGCGCCGCGCCATCGCCGAAGTGTCGGTATTGTGCCGCGGCGGGTCGGAAATCCGACCATAGAGTGGGCGTCACAAATTTGTGTCGCCCGCCTAAGGCCCGAGCCGCGGCACGGGCCACACGCGGGGGGGGGGGGGAGTCGATGGACACTTGAGTAAAATCAGGTGTGCATCGACTCCAAAATTGACCCTAGGGTGGAGGATTGTTAGGGCAATCCGAAGCTCACCGGGGAGGCATTAGGGTCTGGAGGTGGCGTGCAGAGACTGTTCCCTGCACGCCTAGATGGAGGTCCCTTCGATGGGAACCATGCCGGTGGTCTTGGTGAATGCTTTGCGTATCCCATGGCCACGGCGATTATGTCGAGGAGGAACAGTCGTCAGGTTTTTAGCAGGTAGGAGTCCGGCAGTATCCATTCTTCCCTAAGGGAATGGTTCTCCATGATGGATTTTCCTGACGTGAAAAAAAAAAAAAAAAAAAAAAAAAAAAAAAGGTTAGGTTAGGTTAGGTTAGGTTAGGTTAGGTTAGGTTAGGTTAGGTTTTGTTAGGTTAGGTTAGGTTAGGTTAGGTTAGGTTAGGTTAGGTTAGGTTAGGTTAGGTTAGGTTAGGTTAGGTTAGGTTAGGTTAGGTTAGGTTAGGTTAGGTTAGGTTAGGTTAGGTTAGGTTAGGTTAGGTTAGGTTTTTTTTTTTTTTTTTTTTTTTTTTTTTTTTTTTTTTTCCTACTTGGCCTACCTCCCCACCGCTGTTTACAACAGGGTGGGCCGTCGTCTAGCTATGGGTCTTATGCTAGGGGGTACAGCCAAGTAAACACACTTAAGCCCGGATGTGAAATTCCAGGTTTTTTACATTTTCTTTATTAGACAAATAACTTTCTTATTTACTACACTTAAACCTAGAGGAGAACTTAATTAGGGATTTACATTTCTAAGGGTTATCTATTTTACTTTTGTTTACATACTAGAATTTTAGCCTATTTTATTTCTTACTTATCTATTACAATTCTTACTATTACTATTATTCTTTTTATTACTTATGTCTATTGCTTATCTATGACTGTATATCCACTATACACCTAGATACAGCTTTACGTATCGCTGTTTATGTTTGATACCTTGTTTATTATTTCTGTTGCGTACTTTAAAAACTTTTCTCTGTGCTCTTTATTCTTTATAATTTCCTTGAAGTTATCTGATTTTATTTCTATTCCCAATTCTATTTCTAAATCCACTCTTTTCCTTCCAAAGCGAGGGCATTGTGACATAATGTGTAATAGTGTTTCGGGTGTGTGCTGGTCACATGGGCACGACGGATTCTCGCGGCACCGAAAACGGTGCAGATACGCCCGGAATCCGCCGTGTCCCGTGAACAGCTGGGTGATGTATTTGTCTGCGGTGATTTTGCCGACGACCCTGTACGCATCGGCCGCGCTCGGGAAGAAGAGTTTCGTTACGGAAGCAGTCTCGCCAGACTGGTACCGCCTATCCCATTCGGCAATCGTCCGATCCCGGATCAGACGTTTGGCGAATGAGACCGGACACCAGTCGTAGTCTGACCTCCTCTTTGACTTCAGGGCCGCTTCCTTGGCGAGATGGTCCGCCCTCTCATTTCCTTCCCACCCCGCGTGTGCCTTTATCCAATATAATTTTATTATTTTCCCATTTTGGTTACACTTAGTGTGCTTCCTTCTAAATTCTTCCGCTAGGGGGTGGGGTGCTTTAGGATTTGCGACTGTTTGCAGTGCGGCCCTGGAGTCGCTGAGGATGCCGATCGTGGTAGCAGGATGTTCCGTTGCTATCCCAACCGCCCTGCTCAGAGCCAGGAGTTCCGCCTGGTAGACGGTGCAGTGTGCCGAGAGAGCAAGCTTGAGGGCCTTGGTCTCGGTCGCTCTGTTCCATACCGACAGAGCCGCACCGACCCGGCCCTCAATCTTGCTCCCATCGGTAAATATTCTTATCTCGCAGTCTTGTTGCGCTGTTTTATATTGTTCCTCGTCTACCAGGTCCTGGAACTCCAGCCTCCCCTGCTCGGCCGGATGGGGCTTGTCTGCCGCTGGCGTCATCCGCTCGACATCCCTGTCTCCCACTAGCCCGTCGGCCTTCCCCCTCCTCGCCTCGTACAGTGAGGCAGCCTCACGTATACGAAGATCTAGAGGGAGAATTCCTGACAGCACCAGTGCGGAGTTTAGAGACACCGTGCGGTAAGCCCTGCAGATTTTTTGGGCGAAGCCCCTCTGCACCACGCTCAGCTGCTTCCGGAACTCTATCTTCGTCACCGATTCCGACCACGCGCTTGCCGCATACATGATTATCGGCTCCACCACCGCTGTGTATATTGTCCTCGTAACTTCTGGGTGCAGACCCCAGTTCACCCTTGCCGCCTAGCCAGCTGTTTGTAGATGGCTATCGCCTTCTTACAAACCGCAGCCATATGGGCGTTAAAGGTTAACCGGTGGTCGATGGTGAGTCCCAGAAGTTTGACACTTTCGGTCATGCCTATGGCGACCCCGTCCATGCTCAGACGTGGTGTATCGTATTTCAGCTTGCGTGTGATTAGC